AGAATAACTGGCAGCTCTGGGCCCTCTGATTTCATACTGTGGTGGGACCTGGAAGAGTAGATGGTCCCAGATCCAAATGATTTGCTCTTAGAAACCTGCAGGACAAAGATCCTCTCAGAACTTCAGGTTCCTGCCTCTGATAGAGGGCTCTAACAGCCATAGCTGGCATTGCTGAAAGGGCAATGGCCTAATCCAGCCAGTGCGATAAAGGCACTGATAGCTGTCGGCCATGAATCTGTAACTTTCTGCGTGTCAAAGTATGCACAGCTTTGGGGCATCTGTAACTGTGATGCTGAAGGATGGTGGTTCTGGACCATGTCATTTACACTGAGCTGCATTAGTTCCTTAGTTACATGGTTAAATATTTTACTGGATGTTTAAGTGGTATTTATGGATGCAAGCTGGTACAGCCAGCAAAGCCTGAAGTAAAATAAGGGGAGAGGTAAGAAACGTCATGGGAATAGCTGAGAGACAGTCTTATGGGCAGTACTAGCTGGTACTGTTTGTTACTTATTTATACCTCTTATCCCATGGATGTACAACTATGTATTTTTGTATAAAAATGACTGATATGCATACAGGGGAATGAATGCGCTGGACTGTGAAATGTGCCTATGTGATATGCCTGTTATGGTAACATCTGAGCTGAATGCTGCATTGTTATAAGTAATTTGTAGGGTGGAAATCTCTATGTGGAGTGAAAATCAAAGAAGATATCTTGCACGGGGTGAATGTCAATGCAGCAAATAGAAACAAATTTTTGTTAACAAAGCAGGTCTTTTTTACTGTTTCCTTATGGTCTGATCAGAATGTGGCTTGTCGTACCAGAGGAGTGAAAATCGCTAGCCAGGAATGTCTGTTGTCTTTCCGTGGGTAGCGTCTAACACCAGACAGATAGAATCAACAGTGAGTAATTAATAGTAACTGTGTACTGAATTGATTAAGACTTTTTAAAAAATCTCTTCTCTTGAAGGATTACATTTGGAAGCTTCTCCGAACTCCACGGCTTCACAGAAGCCAATTCTCAAATCTGTCCTGCCAAAACAGCGTCAGCACATCGCTAATTTGTAGGAGTTGGAGAACTTCTGCCTCACAACAATTTGTTGATAATTTGAAAACCTGATAATCTTTCCCCGCAATTTTACACACAGGTCGGTTCTGGTGGAGAAAAAACAGAGCAGTAAAAAACCAGTGTGGAAATGATTGGGATGTTTGCATGGCAATGAAGAATTTGATTTACGGTTTTGTTTTCAGACTTTTTTTCTTTTGCCTCTGAATGATTTATTTCCAAAGAAGCTGAAATGCTCTTCACGTGCCACCAACATGAGTTCATGTCGGGGAGTTTATAAAACTTATTGGGACTTAAAATAAGGCTTGAAAAAGACCCTGCTTGATGATTTTATTAAACTAATCTGGCAAATTCATTTTTGCTTTTTAACACATTTTATAGGGGAATCATTGCTCCAGAGAAGTTTTAACAAGTAGCCGTGTGGTTTCACTATATATTTTAGAAGTGATTTCTACTGGCACTGTTACATTATAGATGTCAGGCTGCAGTGCTTACAAGTAGAACATGCCCCAGCTTTTGCTGCTTGATAGTCACATTGAAAAAAATTCACTTCCTGATAATAAAAATAGTCTTTATCCACCATATTTTAAATAAAAGTAGCTTTTGCCTGAAATAAATTATATTCCACTTTGTGATAAAATGCCTGTAGCTTGTGTAAAATGTGTGTGATGCCACCTTCATCTTCTCATGACACAGGAGCAGCGTCATATCTGAGTGCATCAGCATCTTTTTACAGTAAAGCCCTTTGCTTTAGAAAGCAAAAAGAAAACAATTAAATCAGACACTGCATTGTATAAGAATCTGAAGAGACTTGCTTGACCACATTCAAAATTGATGTCATCTGTTGTTTCAGAAAACAAACATAATTCACTACTATTATTTTTGCTGGCATTGTTTGTACATGTAATGAGATGCCAGATCAGCTGGGCCATATTTGCTGTTTGTACAGACTGAGTTTTGTGGAGGTGTCTTAAATTATAGCAGAGGTGTTCTGGCAGTTTACAGGAAAATAGACGTGGCTGTTCCAAGTGCCTGAGGAACCCTTGATAATATTCTTTTACCTAGCTTATATTAAGTGCTAACTGGAAAAAGGAGACAAGCTCTTAGAAATGAAGGTCTGCAATGAATTTGCAACTTGAGGTACCTCCTCTGCATACCAATTTTCCTAACAAAGCAATGATTTCTCTCTTCAGACTGTGTCTTGCTTACATCCCTGGCTTATCAGAGCTGTCCCAAAATTTGCTGGGGCTGTCTGCCTCACAGGAAATGCCATGGATCAGTGCTTCCTCTGTGGTCTGTACATGGCTAGAAACCCCACACAGTTATCTTATTTGGTAACTGCATTGTTTGAAATGTCAAGTCCAAATAATTGTAATGCTCCCCAAATTCTTGAATCAGAAATAGCAATTAGCAGATCACAAGTGGCTTAGACTTATGGACATTCTCAGGCTGCAAAACCTGAAAAAACCTTAGGAAAATGGCTCTCCTCAGATGAATCCCAGCAGCCACTGTGCTGGATCCTGAGCAAGCAGAAGCTTCCCTTTCCTAGCTGTCTGTGGTGTTGACAGCAGAGTCTTACGGTCCTGCCTCAAACACAGCTTAAAATCCCTATGATTGGATTCACAGCACATTAGCATTTTGGCTCAGTAATAGACACAGTGGTTGTATGGGGCATTTCTGGTGTAGGAGAAGCAGCAATAAGCAGCTAGCTATTACTGCTATGATGAAAGGCCACATACAGGAAGGGCACAGAACCATTCATGACTCTTTTTTTCCAGTGGTGGGAAACACATAGAAGTGGAAATTCAGTCTACAGCCTTTGTGAGTCTATAACATGCACACAGTGGCTATAATGCAAGGAGATCTCTTAGGTCTACAACAATTTGCTTTTTTTTTTTTCTTTTTTCTTGGAACCTGTGTATGCTGAATAGGATTAATTGCTTGAGGAACTAAGCTGTGCCTTTAAACCTGTTAGGGATATGCTCCAATAATTGGCAAACTCTTTGACCACAAGTATGTAGGGCTACAGTCAGTACTCCTGCATTCCTCCAGCAAAATGACTGAGGCATGCTCAGCCCATAATTCATTTTCTTTTCTACATATTGAAATAGCTGTGTTCAATAAGCTCCATATCTCTGGGGGGATGAATGAGCAAAGGAGGGGATTCTTACCTCTGTGCTGCCTTTGGAACAAATGTAAGAGGAAAGAGGAATTAATACGGGGGCTCTTTAAAGTTATTTAGGAATGCCTGACACAATTCCAGCCCCTCAAAGCCACTTAATATAGTGTAAAATAGCATTTCATTGAACTGATTAGCACCATTTGAAATAAATCAGGACCGCATCATCATCAAAGTTATGCAGATAAACAAAAGTTATTTCTACTTCATACTGACCGAAACTGACAACAATGAATCCAATTAATTTTTCTCCGAAGACAATGAAATTAAATCAAGATTGATGCTGGCCACTTTGCTCCGAAATCTGCGTAACAGCATGCTTTTCCACTGTAAACATCTGCTTTATTTTTTTTTATTTTCTTTGTAAGACAGAGTTCAACACAGGGTATTAATGGAGAGAAGAGCAATAACTTCTCACAGCAGGGAAATCACAGAAGTACTTTCCCTATTAAAATGTTCCAAGCTGAGTTTTGTGTTTAGTTGTATCATGAAGATTTTATTTTGAATAAGATGAAAAAAAGAGATAAACCATTGTATCATCAGATTAAATGCAATCTGAATTTCAAGTCTTACTTTTCTTTTGCCAGGTATTGTTTCACATTGTTTTCATTACTCTAACAATAAGCTTAAGTGCACTTCATGTTCATTCTAAACCTCATAAAAATAGATAAATAAGATCACATTGAATATTACGATTGAAGCAGGCATTTCAGACTCTGCCTTTGAAAGAATGTCTGTGGAGCTCCTACAGATTTATTGTCCACTGGGCAATTGTCATGATTCAGAATCTAGCCCTGTGCATTAGCCAAGTGTGGGCAATCTTATCAAAGCTGTATGAGGTAAATATGAATGTAAGTGACCTAAAATCTTGAAGATGCAGAATTCATTTGAGAATTGTTCCAACATAAAAATATAATTTGAAGGGCTTAAGACATATACAACAATTAGTGGTTGGCTGATTACACGCCATTTTAAGTAGAATATTTTAGTGGAAATTTTTAAAAAGATTGATTAATATTAACTTTATATATTCAGATTAATTTCAATAAAAAAGATAAGATACTTAAGATACTGTGCAAAATGTATTCTTCTATAAGCCTATCAAAGCATGCAGAATTCCAAGATGTTTTGTATCCTTGGTTCAAAGAATTCTGTAGAACAAATATGGATGTAGGAACTGACTGCAGGGGTAAGTTATCACTGCATAGAAAAAGCAATAATGAGCAAACTACGGTGTGTGAACTAATGTGAAGGGCAGGAAGAATTTCCTTATTTCTGATGAATTTCCTTTCCCTCATTCATTGCTCATCCCCTATAACTTGAAGAGCAAAGTTTATGCTTTTGGAATGCAGCAGATTGCCCCAAGAGTTATGGGTTTAGATTTGTTGTCTTTTAACTTTTCCCCTCTGGGGATAGCATTCTTCTGGGGGTCTCTTGCTTCCTTGACAAACGGCACGATTTTATTCTTGGTTCCAGAATAACATATGCAGCTTGTAAGAGCACTGCATTTTCTTTTGCTCACTACAAAAGAAAATAAGGTCATTGAGTCTAATAAAAATGCCAGATTTCCAGGAAATCAAGACTTCTGCCTGTGTGTGTGTGTGCGTGCGTGTGAGCATGAAGTTTAATGGCTTTTGAATTAAGTGACATTTTTATTGCTTTGAGAAATACATGCATTGCAATGGGATTTATTATTTTGGGAGATGGAATTGTGAATAAAGAAGAAGCTCTGAAAAAAAAAAAAGCTGAAAGTGATGTTACACTGAATTAAAAAATATGCATTTCATTTGTTTAAAAATAAGCTTTTAAAACACATCATGTGGTTCTTCACATGTCAGCCCGGACAAATGAAGCAAAGATGCCATCCTCTTGAGAAAGCAGGTTCTCAGGCGTATCATATTCTAAAATGTTCCCTCGCTTCATGACAATGACCAGGTCTGCCGTTAGGATAGTGTGGACCCGATGCTGCCACAAAGAAAAGCATACAGAAGTTTTAATTATGACAGTTCTCACTGCGTTTCATTAATGGGCCTAATCCAGGGTGTATGAAGTCGATAAGAGGCTTTCTTTGTTTACAGCGGTATTTGGAGTAGGTCCTTGTACTATATCTTTAATCTGAAGAGATCTCAAATTACTTCACAGCTTCTGGCACTTGGCCTGAAAACACTTACGCATGCACATGCTTCATTTTCAGTCAGCTAATTGCTATTATGGACAAGACAGCTGTTGGAAGAGATCCTCCAGCATCACTGAAATATATCTTCCCCTTAAGGAAATACAGGCGAGAAACATCCTGGGTATGCCTGCACTGTCAGGTGGCGTGGCATCCTGCTCCACTCCTTGGCTGTGTACCCTGCCTGCCCATGCTGCATGCATATTAGGACACTCCTAGGTTGTTTCCTTCTGCAGATCAGTTAGCTCCCTCCAATATTAAATTGGTTCTTGCTGCAGGGAATAGGTTGGTCCGATAGGTAACAGGAGGTAGAGTTTGATTTCAGTGCAATGCAAATATCATAGAATCATGAAATCATTGAATATCTTGAGTTGGAAGGTATTCTTAAGGATCAAGTCCAACACCTCACTCCACAAAGGACCACCCATTCAACTCTCCTGGCACAGACTTACAAGACTGATGATAGCAAGTTAGGGCACAAGCAAGCCAGAAATCAAAGAATAGTTTTCTAAAATCCACATTAAGATATGGCATTTGGGGATGATATGAAGGCTTACTCGTGGTCGTAAATCTTACAGAGAACTGGTTGCAAGATGCAGTCATTCGGTATAGAAACGTATTACTAAGAAGTGGCCAGTCAGGTACAGATAGGACTAGTTCTAAAAATAAGACATTGCACTGAAGCGGCTGAAATTTAGGGATTAATTGAAGGAATGGATTTGTTTAGCATTATAGATTCAATGTTAGTTGCACGTCCAGGCTTTTGTTAAATGTAATTCAAGAAAATAGTGAAGAAATAAAACAAATCCAGAAGCCTCGTAATAAAAAATGTTCTTACACTGTCATCTCAGAAGCTGTGCAGTAGAAAGGAAGCAGAATGAAAGGAAACTAAAGAGGTAAAAATAACTACCAAATAGTCAGAAGTCTTGTGAACAGTGTGGACTGAGAGAGTCTACTTGTGAGTCTTCACCAAAGTGGTGAACAGGCCGTCCTCCTTGAGGAGTAAGTTTGAGGCAGTGTCACATTCAACTAGAAAACCATCAGAAAGGACTAGGACAATATGGGCGTCCAAGATGTGAGATACACGATGCTGGAAAAAAGAAAAGAAAAACAGGTGGGTGAAGGAAGGAGCAGCCATGAGTGAAGAGCGGAAGGAAATGAAGTCAGCTGTGCAAGGAAAGCTAAATATTAATATGTGCCATTTTGCTTGAGACATCAAGTTTGGAAAGGCAAAGGAAAGGTGAAGTGAAATTCCAGTGAGAATGACAATACTGAATGTTTGAATGGCATTTAACTGGAAAGGAATAAGCTTACTGTTAGCATATTCAGCATTTACATATCTAAGAATCTTACAGCTTGTTGTAAATGAGCCTGGGTTAAGTCATTCATTTACACAAACTAGTCACTGACAGTCTTGAAACCAGACTCCAAGAGACATAACTCTAATCTCTAACCACAAGACTGGATTCCAGACAAAGCAAATGAAACAGCTGCTGAAACACATATTTATCTCTCTTTTGAAGCAACTTTCAATAATTGTTTAGCCCATAGCTTTGGTTTCAATTTGTTAATGAGAATAACTTTAAATTTTCTTGGAGGCAATGCAGATGCTAAAGTTCCCTATAAAGTCCTTTATATCTCAGTGCTTTCATTTGGCCCACCTGCAAGATATCACTCAGTACAAAATTTCAGGCTGACAGTATGAGTCTTATCCTGTTGCAACATCTGGGAATATTCCGACTTTGGGTTTTAGTTTTACCTTGCTTTCATAGTGATGTTTAGCTGGTTAAAGTCAAGAATAACTGCTTGAGAAATAAGAACAGAGCATCTGCTAGCATTAGTACTTACCGCTATTGTTACAACTGTGCGGTCTGCAAAGGCAGTCATCACGACCTTCTGCAGAATATTTTCCTACAAAACAAAAGGCTTACCTCAGTTATTTCATTCTCCTATATTTTACTTTGTTATGTGCCTTCAAATATCAAAAAGTCAGACTCATATTCCACACCACCTTTCATCTGTGAACCAGAATCCCAGCAATGAAATGCTGCATAGGTAAAAGCAGACTCTCTAAAATATTACTTTTATTCTTTTAATCTCTCACAGTAATAATCAAACCCCAAACACACCAACAGAAACAACTGAAACTAAACACATGGCAAACTGACAGTTTTCTCTGCTAAATAGATCTCATGGCTAACTTCTGGGTAAGATGATGCCTCTTCTCCCAGTAGATCCATGTGGCAATGGAGCAAATTGCTATACTCACTGTGGCCATGTCTATAGATGCTGTGGCTTCATCCATGATAAGAATGCTGCTCTTGCGAACAAAGGCTCGGGCCAGGCAAAAGAGCTGTCTTTGCCCTACACTGAAGTTTTCTCCTCCTTCTGTTACCATTGCATCTATAATAAAAACCAATTAGTAAAATCAGAACACAATGTTTTTGAGAGGGCACCATGAAAGCTCTGTTTGTGCACTACTCCAGCATGAAACAAAATCCCTGAAAAAGCCAATGTATTTAAGCAAATGACCCAAATAGTTAAATCTAGTAGGATACACGATAATTATCTTAGTAATGTCATACACACATTATGGAAGGAAATAGGCGAGCTTTCTTCATGAACCAGGTCTCAAATGAAAAGGAAAATGCTTTGTCTGTGTTCAAGAGCTAAAACTCTGCTGGCCAAGCAAGATTCTATTGAAGGAGCCAAAGAAGAAACTCTTTTTTAAAACTCTTTTCTGACAAATCACCCGTCTTTAATGTTGAGGTGCCACAGGATTTGTCTGCAATGAATGGAAAACCAGACTCTTGTTCAGATTTTTAGTAAGGTTATTTGCTCTGGCATAGAGACAGAATATTCATGAGGTACCTGTTAACTGCTACATGATGTTTCAGAGTGTAAGATCCCATGTAGCTATTTACATGTGTACACATTTATGCATGTATAATGCCATTATTGATCTATATTCCTAGTGATTTGGACATACCAAGGCCTCCTGGCAATGATTTGACCATGTTCTTCAGCTGAGCAATTTCCAGAGCTTCCCAGAGTCTATCATCAGTGCACTTGCATTCTGGATCCAAATTGAAGCTGCAAAGAAAAACAAAATAGGGTCTTGTCACTACAGTTACAATTCATGAAGGTCCTCTGCAAAAGAACAAAGTAGAACTGTGTACCTCACTTAATTCCCCATGGACTATGGCTAGGCTGTGGTGATCTAGGAAGGTTTATTCCCTTTTCCATCCCTTCCTGCCCACATCACCCATCACAAACACACTGCTGCTCTTTTTGCATACACCCACCGGATGGAACCACTGAACAGTATCGGATCCTGGAGGATAATGGAGAGTCGGGAACGGAGAGTGTGAAGAGGCAATTTGCTGATGTCTATTCCATCAATCACTATCCTCCCTGTTTAAAACAACGAGCAGAGGGCATATGAGGGAATTGCACAATCAGAAAGATTAAGCAAATACTTCGGCTGGGCTCCAGATGATGAGACAGCATGCCCCTGCATTCTCTCAGTGTTGTTATACAGACATGGAGAAGGTGAATGCATGTAGAAACACAACCCAGAGGAAATCCAGCCTTTTGGTGACATTGCTGCCTTTCCATATTTCTTTCCCCCTCCCCCCCATCCTCCCCCCCCCCAAAATTCCTTTAAAGGAAATTAGTGGCTTCTGTGTTATGCAATTAATAGTAGCACTGGAAGGATAATTTATTATGAGGAAACCTAATGTTTACAGCCAGAGTGAGAATAAGAGTAACAGTAATTAGCCACATTTTGTATCTTCCTCTGTTCTTGACTTTAACAGTAGCAGGAGGTCTGTAATCTCTGTGCTTATTTCTTTTGCATAATACATGTATTTATCTACAGTCAATACATCAGGAGCCAAAAATTTCTTTGGAACTCAAGGCTGAGTAGGACAGCATAACTTTTTAACATGAGGCAGATCAGAAAAAAAAAAAAAAAAAAAAGGATATCATACTCCAAGGCATTTTAATACCATTCATGGTGATTCTTACATATCAGTTTTACTTAAATATTTGATTGTGAACTAGCTACATAGTGTTCTTCTAGCATAAGATTACTGGAAGAAGTCACATTAATCACTCCTTAAACCAGTAGTTCATTCCCACACAAGAAGTTGTTGTAACAGCTGAGAGACAGTAAAGTAAGATTTTTCCATTTCTAGTCACTACTTCAGGTCAAAGAGCATACGGATCTCATCTGAAAATCTGACTTATGGTGTGCTAGCTGTGACAATTGCAAATATTCAGAGTGGAGAGACTGAAGAAATGTACCAGAGAAACTAGGGATGGGTACTCCGTAAGCAGAAGAAAGCAGGAAGGGTAGAAGGAAGCTCTTTCCTTGGCTCCTTAAAGAAAAATCAGGAACTACCAAAGTCAGTGACTTCCCCTGGACATAGAAACTTCCCTTTGTATATGGGGCAGCAATGGACCAGAGGAAATTGAATAAGGATACTGTAAGGGGTGTTTTTCATCAGGCTCAACTCTTCCCTGTGGATTACTCCATGGAGTGGCTGCATGCAGCCCTGGGAGGCGCCTGCAATATGTTCATTTGTTAGGGAGAACCTAACCACAAACTGGCAAATACATGGATTTTCAAAGCTGCGCGTATGGCACTTTGTAATTCCAAGTTTTTATGATATTGCATTTTGTAGATTATTCTGTGATAAATATTACTGTGGCATGCTGTGGGAGAAAGGTAATGTATTTGTGGTAGAAAACAAGGAGAGGGGACTTTTAGGAAGAAGTAGGGAGGAGTTGGGAAACCAGGAAAGTAACAAATACTCAAGGAAGACAAATAGGTGGTTCAAAGAGAGGGTAAGAAAAGGAACGCACTAAATAAAGAAGTGAGAATAGGGGAATAACATGGAACATACAAAAATTTTAAAAAATAACAAAGACATATGGAACCAAAGTGGGTACCGTGAATGAAGTTTTGGCTTCAGTAAATTTACTCAAAATCTTGTTATGTAATTTTTTAAGAATCAGGACTCCAATCAGAAGTGAGCCAGCTTAGAAACTAAATATGAATTGAGCCAAGACGTGGAGAGAGTTGTGCACAAAGGACAAACAGGTGTCAATTAGAAAAGACTTAGGCATTCCCACTGGGAAAAATTGGGGACACAGAAGGAATAAAGAAAAGATATAGAAGAAAGATTAAAGTAGAAAGAAACTGAAAGTTGGGCATAAATATAATTGTTTGCACTATTTATATATCCAGGATCCCCAGTCATGAATTAGAAACCTATTGCCATAGATACATACAGGCACAGAACCACACAAAAGCAAGTATTAGTATTATTTATCCTCCCACATCTTACTGGGATTTCCCTTGCAAACATTTGATGTACAATGACCAAATTAGAAACATGGAAATCTTCGTTTAAAAAAAAAAAAAAAGAAAAGTGAATTTCCAGTAGTTTTCCATATGCCCCAACAACTCACACGTATCTCTGTTATAACTGCAGGGTGCCTATTGCTGCATACTAGTTCGTTTCAATTATCTAGGAGAGTCAAATGCTGCAGGAATGGAAACATAGCAAAAAGTTTCCAAAACCTTTATTCAGCTTCTGATGTAGTTGTGGGAAAATGCTATAAAATAAAAAATAATTATCAAGGGAAAGGATTTGTTGAGTTCATTTCTACTCCACTAATATTATTACAGTTATAACAAGTTAATGCAGTTATTCTTTAGGGAGAAATTTAGAGCTCTAGAGAGTTGCATATTTTCCCTCTTATCTCAAAAAATGGCATATTGTTTTGTTAGAGCAAATGCCAAAAATAAAAAAAATATATATTTTTTTTAAATGGAAGTATAATCTGTACATGATGTTTCCTGGAAGAACCAAGTGCTACTCACAACAGGACACTTCGTACTTTGAGTGATTAGGCACAACAAGCCCCATTCTAATTGCGTATCTTCTGAGACTGAGAGATAGAATATAAACTATCAAAAAGTGTCCTAGCTTTCTCTGAAGAAATAAGAAGGGAGTGAGTCAGGAGACACATACTCCAATGAAAACTAACCATCAAATATGTCCACCATTCTGAAGAATGCTAAAGACAGGGATGACTTGCCACTGCCAGTACGACCACAGATCCCAACCTGCAAAAGAAAACAAGATGTTCTATATAAAAGGCAGCTGTAAGTCAGACTTGTGGTTCTAAGAAAGCTGGACTGGACTGCTGCTAATGAGAGGAAAGGTTTCTTCCCAATGGCCAGTGGCAGACACTAGAATAAAAACAGAAGACTGTGACAAGCACACTCTCTGTTCTGTTATTGAATTGTGAGGATTGGTAATACAAAGGTAAAACCTGGGGGGGGGCTGTCACTGATAGGGGTGTGAGGCAGACATTATTACACTGCTCTGTCCTCCAGGCAGAAGGCAACAACAGAAAAAAACCCACATAATTTAACAAATGTTAATTTAAAGTGATGCTTCAGCTGCTATGGATCATGCCCTGTCTTCAGAAATAAATAATATAAAGCAAAACCTGTTTAATTTCTCCCTACGGTTTGTGCAGTGCTGAAATCCACAGAGACCTTTAACTGAATGGTGAAGCGGTTTCATCTGTGCACTGAAGAACTCATGTAACACATGGTAGAAATTCCCACTTGTCCTATCAAACAATCCTATCAATCACATAGTAAAAGCTAGGTGTTTCAAGTTGATAAAAAAGAGTGCTATTTATTTCACAGTGGGACCTTATGATGTCTCTAATTTGCATGCAGTGGGGTTTCTCATTTGTATGCAATGGGTTTGCATGTATGCATCCTGAATGATGTCCTGATTGGACAAGGAACTTAAACATATATACTTGGCTGAGCAATTGTCTTTAAAATTTTTCTTTTACTGTGTAAAGTCCAATTTCTGCAATGTTAGTATTGTCCTCAGAATAAATGCAATTTTAACCATGGGGGAAAAATATTTTTTGTTTGGTTCATGTGGAATTTCATTATTTCTGCTTGAATCAATCCGTGGGGCAATGTAACATTTAATATTACTTTGATTTGAACATTTTGTAACAATTCAGTAGCTGAAATTTAACATAATAACAGATTTTCAGGTATATTGGGATATTTAGGCAAAAATGCTTAAACAAAATAGTTCTCTTTGGCAAAATAATGATTGGAAACATTGATCCCAGGAAGACTTTTGAAACACCAGAACTCTTCATCTGAACTTCAGTGACACTATATACTGAAATTTAAGATGTTCTTGTGTGTTTTCTCAGTTCTTGTTCAGTGTTCACCTGTTCTCATCTCACCATCTACACTCACTCTGTGCAGTGGGGGTGGACATGGAAAGAGATGGGTGTCTAGGAAGGAAAATAGATCTCAGCCAATAAATGATGCCCTCAGTGTGTTTCCTGACCCATGTCCATATAACTGTCACTGCAAATTATTGTTAGTCTTGCTCTTCTGCTATGTTAGAAAATAAAGAACAACCTGTTCCAGAAGGAGGATCATATGAAATTGTACAGTACCTTTTGTCCTGGTTTAATATAAGCTTTAACGTGTTTGAGAACAGGCTTCAGGTTGTTTTCATATCGCACACACAAATTTTCAATCTTGATTTCCCCCTCCTGGGGCCAGTCTTTTGGGACTTGAGAAGGGTCTGGAACGGTTACAGCAGAATAAAACAAAACAAATGCTATCAGAAGGTCACTTTTTATGACAGTTCCTTTTTGCCTCCCTCTTTCTGGACACCTTCATGAAACCATTTGAGAAACCTAGCCTTCAGTTTCATGCCAAATACACTTAGGGTAAAGGAGTGCCTTCTATTAGGATGGCATGCTTGGGCTGTTTGCCAAGGGATTTCCGGACTGCCTGATGGTCATGTTAGCACTTATCTTTCCGATCATGACACCTAAGATGAGAGGGTGAATGCCTAAGGAGCTCTTGGCAATGAAATGGGGAGAAGCAAAGCAAACAGGAAAAGTCAGTGCAGTGTAAACATGCTCTGAGGTTAGTAACCGGCAGAGGAAGGAGAGTGCAAGGAAGGATGTTGTTACTGCATGACAATTTGAGCTGTTGACATTATCACAGCTCGTATGTCATCCTAATTTGCAAACATGTAGATAGGTTTTGTCTCGACTAAGGAGTTTGGTTGTCAAGGAAGCTTGCTGACCTGCAAGCTTTTTCATCGCTGCACTTCTGAAACAACAAAGCCAGTCTGAAATATGTGCAAAATAAATAGTAGCAAAATGGCTCAGGGAAGAATTGCTGAAGTCTGAGTACCACCATGCCTTTGTCTTGTAGCCCCCATTTGCTGCAAAGATCATACATTTGAAAGCAAGGGATTTTAATGCATTTCTAGTTTTCATCTGTCTTTTCATTTACTGTTTAGCTACATAGATGTTTTGCCCTGAAACATTCTGATTGTACTTCAGTGTCATGCTTTGTAACCCAGCATTTTGATTTCTGTTGACAGGCACTGGTCTATATGTCTTATGGCTCCTTTTGTCTACCTTTGTCATTCACATCAGTCCTTGCTTTAACAATCCTAGAGGAAAAACAAGCCATAGTAAAAAAAAAAACAAAACAACAGACCAAACCACAAAAATTTAGAGTGCAGTACCCAAGTAGCCATCATAGTTCTCCGACTCCATGTTCAAGAAGCTATGTACTTTTTTTACAGCGCCCATCTGCACCTCCAGATCAGCCAGATTCCTCACCACCCAGTTCAAATAGTTGGTTATCTACATCACAAAAAGAGAAAAAGGGTAGGGTTCAGATTTCTGTCTGTGCACCTATATGTTTGAGAGTAAAAATCAGATAAATTTGTGAAAGTCTTTGGCCTGATCCAGAACAATGGGTCAATTACTGACATTGCAACAGTCCTAGACTCAGTGCAACAGCATCACATGCATAACTGACCAGTCATACTCCAACAAAAAAAAACAACCTTGACATATTAATTTACTGCTTGGTATTCTCATCCTTCTTTTTTGGAGGAGAAGGATGGAAACATCATACCCCCAGAGTCAAGCTGAGACTGACTAGGACAGTCATTTGCTCCCTAGTACTGTAAGGCACTTTCTTTAAGCACACAGACACAGAAGAAATCAAAACTGGCAACACTGTTTGTAAATGCTGCAGTTTCTAATCTTTCAAAGACTAACTAAAGATTAAGAAAGTTGACTGTTTGCAAGTATATTGAGAAGAATGTGATGGTCACTTAAATTCTATTTCCTTCTGTGTATGTTCAGATGATTCATTTATCTCTGTGGAAAACTTGTTGGTTTTTGGTTTTGTTTTTTTTTTGATAGAAATATATGAGAAAAAATATATTATCAATTCATTGTTATTTCATTATTTTATTTTTATTATATATATAATATATTATTATATTTATTTTTATTACCAGTTGTAGTCAAGCAGGATTTGATAAATCGTAAATGTATTGCTTGTAGTAAGTAACTGTTGATAATTAATTGCTGAACAATACTCAGTAGCTTAGAGAAGCTGACTCCTAGTGAGGACTGACAAGTCAAGACAGATAATTGTAAAGCAATTTCCTAAATGTATGTTCCTAAGTCTCTATATAGAAGCCCCTATAAAAAAAGAAAAACTGGTCTTATTAGAAGCTCTTGATAGTCAAGCACCTTTAAAAATTGAGCCACTTAGGTACCTGAATAAGGGTTTAGAAAGTTCAGTTAATGAGAACACCCTACAAACAAATACACTTGGAGAAAGGTTTTGTCATTTATTTGCTTGTTAAATCTGCCAAATAAGATGTTTATTATGAATAAATCACACAGCTTCACTTCTTTTCCATTTACCTTATACCTTATATTTTTCACTAAGAGTCAACAATAAAATTTGTTGTGAATTTAGAGGATTTAGTTGATTGTCTTGCTGATGAGTGGTGAGTTATTTGTTGTTCAGAAACACACATCTCTTCAGCTTTTGATTCAGAAATGTATCTACAATCATAGTTCTGTCAAATTTGATAAAAGAGTCTGGCATCTCAAAGGCCCCACCCATAGCTTCAGCCTTCTTCACAGCTGTGCAATAGAGTTGGCAGTGTTTATACAAGGGAAGAGAATAAGCTTCTGAACGCCTACTATAAACACCATGTTACTACAAAGCTTGCACTTATCCAGGTCCAAACATCATCCCTCTCTTAGCTCCAAAGAGAAATGATACAAAACCTGTCAGGAGACAGGCAATGATCCAGCTGCATCCATGGTTTCACTAGTGCTATTGCGAGGGAGGAGAGAGACAGGTTCCCACTTTGGCTACTCTGCCAGACTTCAGCAAATGGCTAATTTGCACTAATGATCTGTTTGCAAATACAGATTAAGTATAAAGTAGCCAAGGCAATGCAGACATCTTGGCGCTTCCAGATCTCTGCTAATGAAGCAGGATTACCAGGAATGTTTTCAGAATGAAGCTGAAAGTCTGGGACAGATTCTCAGTTGCTGGCAGATGCTCACAGTGATGTAACAGTGGCTCAAAGGGGATCTAAGGCCACCCTAAGGCAGCTGCCAGGAATCATCTGCTGCAACGATGGGCTTACCAGCATTTAAGGGTAAAGCCAAATCTTGGTGCTAGACCCACACCCATATCCTCTATATGACACCACCTTCCACCTACTAGAGCATGAAGCAGCCGGCTTTGTACCATGCCAACCACGATTTCAAAAATTCTTCCTGCCACTATCCTCCTCCTGTTTTTATCCCCATTGTTTTGGTGAATTCAATTATATTTTTGCCTCTCTGGGATGACAGTAGTCATGCTATGCCCATGATGCACTCTCAGCCTCTTTTATTAACTACTATAAGGACTTTTCCATGAAGGACTTCTCCATGACTCACCTTAAATTGCTCACAATATAGTTAAAATGATTTGGTTACTGTGTCACCAAAATCTTGTCTTTCCTAACCCCACCTCCTCTTTCCTACTGCTACTTGTCATGATAGACCATGCCTTCTAGCCTTAAAGATCCAAATCTCCACATTCATTCAGAATTGGACAAATAATATTGGGTATCTGAGTAGAATCCATCCAAAGGCAGAACAGGCATTTCAGCTTCTTCAGCAATGATTACATTGGTCTTTGGTTAAACATTACCAATGTTTATGACAGCCTGTGAGGTAGCACAGTCTGGCAGGTTCTGCCACGTACAAGTGCAACCAACACTGTCTTGTGCAAAACAAAGTGCACAGCAGGTCCTCTTACGCATTTTAAATTTTTCTGCTCTGCTTGGGAGCACACAGGGCCTGGGAATGGTTGTGTTTTTTTAATTGGCTCATAAAATCTGAAGCAAGTCCAAGTTGCTCTGAACTCTTTCAACTTTGGCTTGAATCCATTATTTGCAAGATTGTTTTTTTTTTTTTTTTTTTTTTAACAATTAAGAAAGCTGGAAGATAATCATGTATAAGTAATTTTTAAATTACCATAAAATGAATAATGGGTCTCAAAGTTCTTGTGCTTTGATACTTACTGTCAGAGCGTACAGGAGACCTAGCCCCACAAACCCCGAGTTTGGCCCTTCGGTGATGGAAGTGATAGCTGCAGTAAGAACTATGCAAGCACCAAGATAATCCTAAAATGAGACAGAGGGAGAGAGTAAGATTCTAGACAACATTAAAATGCACTGATAATAAAATTTCTTCTGTTGCACAGCACATTCAATTTACTGAGGATTATTTCTGTAATGACACCTAGTCCTTACATTTGGATTGTTTTTCCTGGAAAAGACCAGGATTTTTGGTGTCTAAAACAGCCTACAGGAACTTGCTGGACACAGATGAAACAGGCCAGTATTTTCTGCAAAACCACTTGGGCTGAGGTGTCTCCATGTAGCTTCTCCCAGAAGAGGATGTATAAAAAAATGTAATGAGCACGTGAAAAGAAATCATAAGAATGGCATAACATCCTTAATTACAAACTTTTAAAGCAAATGAATTCCACTCCTTTCCACTCTCTCTCACATCTTCTCAAACATGCATTTACCTTCCAAAATAGAAGTATCAGCCCATGAAGGATTTTGGCACGATTTATATGAGTAATGCACATGTTTTTTGGGCAGACAAGTGTAAAGTGTCTACATTATGTAGTGGGACACTGTGCATGGGGAAGACATCCCTAAGCCTGCTATACACTCATAGCCTGCAGTGAAACCATTTGCTTGTTGGTAGCAGTAGCTCAAAGCATTAGAATAGTGTAGTTGTGGGGCTGCATCTGGTCTGTTAAGCCTTGCTCTTGCAGAAATTGCTGAGGAGATTGAACTGGACAGATCTGACTTCTCAGGCTCTTCACAAGCTTCAGCCAATTTTCTTGATGTGTATCTCCATTCTGAAGTGAATGCCAGATACACAGTGGTCTCATGCAGTCATGAAGGTACCTGATTCATGGGACTGCTGGTGTTCCTACTCTCCCACTGTTCCCTGCATGATATTTACTTTGGATTACAAAGTTAGCATTTTCCATCCATTTTTTTCCTCCTATTTGATAATGTCCTGCCTGGAGTCTTTCCCTCAGAGATTTGAAATGAAGGCTTTGTTGTTCATCTATCTGTAAGATGTGTCCATGATCAGATGATAGACTCTAACTTAACTGCAAAGAAATAGAAGTAGCGTGCTCTTGAGTCTTCAAGAGCAGCTGGGACGAGTTGCTACTGATTCCTTCTGAAGTTCTCAGTGATATTAGTACCACTGAACTATTGGACAGAGATAAATGAACTATTCCTTGGTGAGACCACATTATTTCTGATGAAGCAATGCATATTCTTTGATCAGTTTCACTCCACACATATGCAAGTTTGAGACATTAAGCATTGCTACAGCTTATTCCAGGATTGGATGTGTCTTATTTATCTGTCTTTGATGTGGAAACAAGTTCAGCATGATCTCGAATGCTGATAGCTTCATGCACAATGGGAAAGTCTGACATCTTAAGAAATGTAACACAACTTTGTTGCTCTACCAGTGAAGGTGAGGATAACAGCCTTGATGTGAGTACGAGTCGTGCCTTTCAATTACTTTTGCCTGGCAAAATCAAATTACAACTCTGTTCATTCACTGCTCTTTTAGCATCAGATATATAATGGAAACACAGTGATTTTGCTTGCCCTCATGCCACACTGAAGTTCCTCACACACTGTCATTGGAGAACTCTGATAAAAAAACAGAAGCCTGTCTCACTGCCACTGGCTGTGCTATTGGTAGGAGTCATTCATTTTTAAGTTGAAGTCAAGCTCTGCTATGTCTTCTGTGACATTGAACAGTTCTGTACATTACACACAGTATGGGCTCACAGCAGAAGTAAGGGCACAGCAAACAGAGCCTCTAAATCACAGCTGTGGGATTAAACCTGTTGCTGGGGAGACACTCTGGTGCCTGTAACAGCCCTGGCTGACTGATTGCATGGCTCACAAAATTACTTAAAAGCCACACTCTGCTTTGAAAGTAGCTGTTACAGGGGCAGGTCTGCAGATGCTGCACAGTAGTAGAGAAAGCCTTATTTCAAGTTATGTAAATGTTTGTTCTTGCACTCTCTTCAGACAGTAGACATCGCAACAGCAAAAGATGAGGGAGGCTCATATTTTCTTACTTCTGTCCAAGAAAGCTGAAAAAAATCCACTATGTTTAACATAAACAATCCTGATCTATTTTAAGTATCAGTGTGTATAATCTCAACGCGAGATTAATTCCCGTTACTGTCTTATCCTCCACATCAGGCTAAGTCTCTGTTTGCTTCCAAAGTTTGAAAACCATGGCTGGGACTAAACTGAACGTACCGTCCTGACCTCCAGCCATCTGTTGGCAGCCGATAGAAATAAGTAGGCAATGTTGTTCGTATCTGTTAGTTCCAGCATGCGTTGTTTAAACCTGGATTCATGCCTGCCAAGAGCAAAGTTGTTATATTACAACACATTGCACACAAACACAAAACGATGAAGCACTGAACTCTTCTTTCCTGCTCCTCTCAACCACAGGCTATTTGTCCTTATGTCTTTGCCAAGCTTTGTGTTACAAGCTCTTCCCTGAGGACCCATATGTTCTGCCAGGGCTCTTTCAGGCCAGGTAGAAGTTACCTAGCAGCTTCTAGAATGTTTGACATGGGTGATGTCTCTGAGGTTTCAGTTTTACTAGTAGGCTGTAGATTGATTTGTGGACCAATTCTTCTCAGCTACTCTGCTCAGCTGTTTTCTCAGCTAGCCATGAACTGCCTAAGCATTTTAGCCAACTGCAGTGAGGGAATAGATCCCATGTAGTCAACAATCCCCATAGATCGCTTCTGAATGACAAAAATGAGTGATGTCACCTCCTACTGTCACTTGTCGCTCCCATGTAATGCCTGTCATGTTTAAAAACAGGTGAAAAATATCAGAGCATCTGAAAGTGAGGGTACATGATGGCAGAAGCACAGTATAGGCAGAGTCTCTGTTGATAGAAATGCATCACATTCATGATGCCTGACAGTATTTTCGAGTCTGGCCTGCAGTCAGGTGGACAACATTTCCTTGTTTTACATTCTACTGTCTATTCAATACCATCACTTGAAAAAAAATGCCAAATTTGATTCAGCAGCTTATCTCCTGTTTTATCATGGAAAGTTCTTATATTTCAAAGTTTCATGGCTGTGGCATGAAGCACCTGTAATCCTTGTTCTGCCAGAAACCTCTTCTATTTATTTATTTGTTTATTTATTGCCTTTTCCTGGCGATACTTCATTTCTCTCTGCATAGCTTATAAACATAGCAAGCAACCTTCCCAAAGCAACAAGTGGTAACAGCAATGACGTGGGGAGGAGCAAAGATTCACTGAACATTCTGCTTGTCTGCCTTTCTGGCAGCAAAACTCCTGTTTTCCTAATGGAAAATCTGACATGCTTAATCTGTATCTTTTCATCCACCTCCAGTTCCTCTTCTGGGCTGTTTTAGACTTTTATCCTATCAGATGACAAACAGTAAAGGTCACTTAAATTGCTTACTGATCCAACTGTGCTACTTTGTGGTAAGTTACGTGGATAGTTGCTCTATTTTATCCTGGAACATACTGAACTCAAACTACAGAGAATGACTAATGGGATTATTAGTAAATATGAGCTTGCTGACAAAAAAAACACTGAATAATTCAGGTTTGGTTAACAGAGGAGCAGAGAGGGGGAAATGAAATGGTATTAGTTTGCACCAGATTCATGGAAAACTCAGGTGATGGTTATGACGGCTACTCATTTTCTAAGACTGTGTTTTACTCTCTGACATCCAAGCTGACAGAGCTGTTTTGTAAAACAACAAGGAGTTGAACAACTCCCAAGAAATGATAAGCTCCTCATCTTTCTCAATAGATAGTGTGATGAAGGGCCACTCTCAATGACTTGAGAAGCACTCAGCGCACATCAGCATCAGGCTTTAGTTATGAATTACTGGTTTAATACTTCATTCTGATTGATACATCTTGTTAAGCCACTTTTTTGTTGACTGCTGGCTCACATCTCTTCAACACACTGCAAATATTTTTGCTTGTCCTATTACAGTTCTTTCTGCAGCACTCTGAACTAATAGTCCTAACGCTAGCTTGAAGTGATGAAACAGACAGGAAATTACACAGAAACTGTGTAATTTATTGAGAAGATGAGACTGATCTTCTAGACTTTTGACTCTATCCCACACTGCCCAATTGTCTCCTGCTGGAAAGTGTCACATTATTTAAACTCAGCCTGATCAATGCTGTCTAAAACGTACAGGTGTCAGCAGAGCTGGGAAAAATATCACAAGTCTCTAGTTGAGATGAAGTGGATGTAATATGTGTGTAAAGAGCACTAGTATGATCTCCTCTAGGTTGAAATTCTACTGTGTGCAGAATAAGTGCAAGTTATGCTTATTAGGGGCCAACATCAAGTATGATAGTTATGCTAGCTGTGATGTGGTGGATATACAAGGAAAATTTAGTCCATAATTCCTAAAATAATTAGAAAAAATATATGCATATTCAAATAGAAAGATTCTCAGGATGTTCTGGAATTTAATATTTGAATTTGGTTGAGAAGGTTAGGTCTTAGAATATCAAGATCTCTTCTGCCATAGTTTTTCCTTTAAAGCCTTTCTAGTTGCAAATTTTATCTCCTAGTTAGCAAGTACTGTAGTAGTGCATCCTGAGGTGCCAGGCTTATAAGATATAGCACAAATACTGGAGGAGTGATGCCTGTGCCTGCCATGCAAAGGAGAGTTTCTTACAGTCTAAGTAAACATCTTAAAAATTTAAATAACACATCCTAAAAATGTGATCATCTTTAATTCAGTGGAAACCAATACAAATACTTATGTTGCTGAGCGCATACACAAGTGTTTAGAGGTGTAGCAAAACAATAAAACAAACCCTGCTACCCTTTTATAAGATTGTTTAAAGTCTACCAAGTCAAATAAGTTGGCCTCTGATATGCTTCAAGCAAGCTACATGAGTTAGAGCAGAACACAAGTGTCTCTCTGATCATTTTCACCTGAATGCTCTGATAGTGGTAAGGCCTTCAGCTGTTTCAGAGAAGTGACAGAGTAATGGTAGCTGGGTGCTGTCATCAAGTTCCTGGAGGTCCCTGGGGTAGGAAAACAGAACAGCAGCTGTTACATCTCTGTCCATAGAAAAAGCACAACAGTCATATAGAAAAAGGACAACAGTCAACACTTTTTGTATTTTACATATTCCTCTCAGAATTGCACAAGTTACAATTTCTATAGTGAATTTCTATAGTCTGGCACAGAAATCTCACATTTCTCTTTTGCTACAGAGGACTTTTGCAGACGACACCAAATTGGCAGGAAGTATCGATCTGCCTGGGGGTAGCGAGGCTCTACAGAGGGATCTGGATTGCTGGGCTGAAGCCAATGGGATGAGGTTCAACAAGGACAAGTGCCAGGTGCTGCACATAGGCCACAGCAACCCCAGGCAACATTAAAGTCTAGGGGCAGAGTGGCTGGAAGACTGCACAGGGGAAATGGACCTTGGGGTATTGGTTGATGCTCAACTGAACATGAGCTGGCAGTGTGCCCAGGTGGCCAAGAAGGCCAATGGCATCCTGGCTTGCATCAGAAATAGTGCTGCAAGCAGAAGGAGGGAGGTGATCATCCCTCTCTACTCAGCACTGGTAAGGCTGAAGTACTGTGTTCAGTTTTGAGTCTCTCACTGCAAGAAAGACATTGAGGCCCTGGAGCGTGTCCAGAGAAGGGCAACAAAACTGGAGCACAGGCCTTATTGAGGAACGGCTGAAGAAGTTGGGATTGTTCAATCCTGAGAAGGGGAGGCTCAGGGGAGACCTTGTTGCTCTCTATAGCTACCTGAAGGGCGGTTGTGGTGAGCTGCATGTCAGCTCCTTCTCTCATGTAACTAGTGATAGGACTAGAGGAAACGGCCTCAAGTTGCACCAGGGGAGATTCAGGCTGTATGTTAGGAAATATTGCTTTTCCAAAAGTGTGGCCATGAGCTGGAATGGGCTGCCCAGGGAGGTGGTGGAGTCACTGACCCTGGAGGTGTTCAAGGAATGTTTAGATGTTGTGTTGAGGGACATGGTTTAGTGGGAAATATTGGTGATAGGTAGGTGGTTGGACTGGGTGATCTTGTAGGTCTTTTCCAGCCTCAGTGATTCTGTGATTCTATGAATCACATCCCAGCCATCTCCATGGCTCCAGTCTTTGGTCATAGCTAAGCTTCTTTCGTCAGCAACATCAGCAGCTCTCTCCTGGTAAAACCCTGCTTTCAATTATAGCCAGCAACTAGCAACTTTTACTCTCAAACATTCTAGTTTAATATAATTAATATAATCAGCTCAGAACAATTGAAACTTCATAGTACATTATTTGTGGCTCTTAATCTTGAAACAGAGCTTGTATATCTTCAAGCTTGTCCATTTCATTGTAAGCATATCACTTGGCCTGACAATGATAATGCTTTTCCAAGTAAACCTTTCCTCACTTTCAGTATCTGTAAATACAAAAACATGCTGAACATAAAAAATGGCAGAGTATAACTGATCTAATTGTAGTGTATTTCAACGGCTGCCCCCGTGGTTGAAACAGAGATCGCACCAATAGGGAAAATATGTGAATGAGAAACCTCCTTATTTTCAAAACCTGAATGCAGCAATGGTGTTTAAAAGTTCCAGTCTCCCGGAACAGGAATGTTTTCCAAGGCACAGAGACAAATACATCTTTCTTTAACACACTACTGTTGGCATACCAGCCAGCTGTAGAAGTATAAACAGAAGAGAGGCCAGAACATTAGATATTTAAACTCCTTATTAAAATACTACTATGTTTGCACACTATATTAGATAGGTCAGCAGAAATAACTGCTCCATGATGCTGAATGTTACAATATACAGAACTGAATTTGCTGCTTATGTTTTGGTGACAAATATGCTCTATTTCAGATTTATAATGGAAAATACACAGAGGGTTTTGAGAAATGTAATGGAAAAATACAAGAAAGAGTCAAAGTGCTGTAAGAAATACTGTAAATATTTGCATTTCTAAAATTTAGTGAAGCTTATATGTCTGGAAAGTACTGCATGCAAGTATGTTATAAATACTGGACTAAGCTATTAATTCATCCTCCATTTCCCAGGAATATATTTTCTACAAATAACCATCGCATTTATTCATTTCTATCATGAAGTGAAAGAACACAACAAAAACTTATATGCCTTACAAATGATTTAAAATAATTTCATTTAGAAGCACTTTCAAAAAAGCAGTTGCTGATGCACATTTTCCCAGAAAACTGTAGGGAGATAAAATGAATGAGGTTGTTATAGACTTGCAACTGCAGAGCCAATGGATGCATATGTGTGTGTGTGCTGACATACAGGGGTAACCAAATTCTTGCTGGCTTGTATGTTGCAGCTATCAATATAGCTTGGGGAAAAACCAGGTCTGGAGATGGATGGAAACACAGTGAGGAAAGAACAAGGCTTACACCAAATCTTAAACAAATTAAGCAAATCATTTCAGAAATAAACAGTTTGTATTTTATCAATTCTGATATTATGGAATTTTCATTTGAAAAAAACATCCTTGGAAATTCTGAGAAAAGCTGGAGACAAGTAGGCTACAGTGAAGCTAAATTACTGGCATGTTGCTTTATGCCCCTTCTGATGCACTGATTTAAAAATCGGAAATAACTGGCACAATTCTTTTTCAGGCTACCTAATAAGAAATCAGCTGTATTGGATCACTCTCTGGAAATCACTCTCTCTCTTAGATGGATGCTACAGAACAAGTTAATGCTTTACCATGTACCTCCTGTGGATACAGGGTCTGCAGTGACAAATGCTGTCTCATAGGTCATTATGGCTTCCATGCATTTCATGTCAGCAGGCACCTTGATGTGCATTTTTAAGTATCAGAAAATGGAGTAAAGTCAGCCAGACGTCTGGCTGATTAAAAAAAGAAAATGAAAACAAGAAACTTGACTGAGTGAATTAAAGAAAAACCTTTGAATGACTTGCTTAAGATGTGTTAATAAACTACATATTGGCACTAAAAACAGAACTCTGAGGCTCTTCTTGCTGAAACCATGTACTCTTCAGAACCAGCCAGACCATTCTGAATATGAGATGTTGCTGTAGAGTAGAAATGGTGTCCTGCAGAATTTTTTTCCAATATAAGGAAAAAGCAATGACTGACATTAATCCAGAAAGTTATTTTCCATTCTCTACTAACTCTCAAAAGATCAAAAGCAAGGCTTTGGCCATCTGTAAGCTGTCTCAGTTGACTAATAAAATTCATGTTCATTGATCTCCATAGTGAATAATGTAAACAACTGAAGCAACTAGTTACTTCCTAAAATGCTGTATTTGACATCAAGTCAGCTGGAAATATCCTCTAACGTATGGCTCAAACTCACACCTCAGAATCAGATGCAAGACACTATGTTCACTATCACATTTTATCCCATTACTTGTTCCAATAACTTCACATTCCAATACAGTTCTTATGTATCAACTTTATAAAAGAAATTTTCGGGGCAGTTTTTTAATACTTACTTGGAAGCAACTCTGAAGTATTTCTGGATGAAGTAAAATGCTATCCCAAGGGGCACAAGGGCGACAAGGAACCATGGAGTGGCATATGAGATCATTCCAATGGCTGATAGGCAGAGTAATGTGGACCGGGTAAGAGACTCCAGGGTAGGAGGAATGTGCTAGAGCAAAAAGAAAAAATGTATAAGACAAAAACAAACAAACAAACAAAACCGTAATAGTACCACTACATGCTTTTTCCTATTCAGTGCCATAGGGAAAGTGGAATGATATTTCTATAGGTTCACTGATTCTTGCCTCATACCAGGAGCCTGTATGTGCAGAAGTAAAAAAATAACTTAGTAGTTCTTTCTATCTAGAGGTCAGTAGTCCAAAGACCATTTCCACCTCAATTATATAACAGAGAAGAAAGTGAATATTGACATATAAAATATTTAGAGAAACAGCATACACTTTCACAGAACCTCTCAATTTTATTTCATGTTCTCATCACTCTTATATTCAGGATTGTAGCTCATCCAAATGTTTTGATAAATAGACATAGTGAAAGTATCCATTCCTTTAGCTGAATACTCCAAATTCATATATGCTACTGCCACAATGGACCATCTCCTTACCTCACATGTACTCCTCATAGTAAAAGTAATATTGTATTTTCTGTTTCCCTGATTTGAACCCCAAATCTGGTATTTTGCTAATCCAGATCTCTTAACAGAAGCAACTAGTCTGTTTTTGAAGAAATTAAGAACTAAGATCTCCTACTGCTTTTAATTACTTGCATGCCCTCATTACTACAAATATGCAAACAGTTTGTATTTTGAATTTGTCTAATTTCAGAGCTTCTATTTTCCCTCATTAATACTTCAATGTGTCTTATTCACTAGCTAAATGAAAATTTACAAAGCCAAGATATAACAAATAGAATATATTGATACGTCTACCTGATCGATTATATTTGTATCAGCAGAAAAGCGATTTAGAATTAGCCCCAGTGGAGTCATATCAAAGAACCTGTGGAATAAATTCAAAGCAAAAATGTTATCTGATTTGGAATTCCAGTTTTGGATAAAAGTCTTGGTCAGGCAGAACACAAGGCTGTGTACAGACATTTTCTATAGCTAAGCAGTAGAAATAAATGTGCAGGGGGAGCATTATTTTTGCTATACCTGATTGGTCCAAGGATGATTTTATTGAGGAGATTATGATGTAGATTTTTGGCTGCTGTGAGGCCCATCCACTCCACGGTCAGAGACGTGATGAGGCATAGGACAATCCCTGCTCCAGAGAGGATACTGAAGACAGCTACATGGTAAGTCTAATAAAATGACAAAGACATCAGTCATAGAAGTAAATGCAAGTATTTTTTCTGCTATGAAATTCCCAAGGTGTTGCTCTGTGGAACTACTACCTTGTACTAAATAGCTGATCTGTCACATTGCAAATACTTTCTGATTATATTAATATCATTATGGGGGAAATAAAAGAGTTATCATGAAACTGAAATACATCAAGTTCACATATTTAGAATATCTGGCAGTTGCAAGATCTTTCAAACTACGGATAAGTATCCTTCACGACCTTGAAGTGATGAAACTATGAGAAGATAGACTAGCTGGGTAAATACAAAAGTATGCAAATGGTTAGCCAAGGAACTCAGACAAACAGAGCAGAACCTTTCACAAACTGAGGCACTGAGGAGACTTTGGAAACTTCCACTTATTAAATTCAAGCACTACTAAAATTCCCAGAGCAAATTCTCAATTAATCTGCCAGGGCTATAACATACTTAGGACTTCTAAAAAACTAGCAAATGGATTTTAATAAGATATTTATAGACTAGTCAAATTTACAGCAATAAACATATCCTAAATAAGTAGTACATCTTAAGAGGTTTTTTTTGTTTTTTGTTTGTTTGTTTGTTTGCTTGTTTTTTTGGAGGGACATAAGTGTATAGTCAGTACTTAGAAAAATGGAATAATTGTCATAGGAATTAAAAAATCCAGATGAAAAAGTTTAGTATGAGATTGCTCATTCTTCAACCATTTTTTAACCTCAAACATGCTTTTGGTTCAATTTTATCATTTTGAAAAGACTGATAAAATTTGAATTGCCCTATATTTTTGCATAATTTATTCATTCATTATATCTAATGATTGATTTTATGATATCTATCTGTCTTTCCAGTCCAATTGGTTTTGAGATAATGGCAAATAATTACTTAAGAACATTTTCTCTCTCTTTTTAAAATTATTTTTTTCAGTCAAGCTCAAAGTATGACCCACCTTTTCTGTGCTCCGAACATCATCAGCATTCATGAATTCACTTGCATTGCCCATGGATGTCCATGTAGCAAGCCAATAATCTATAGCCACTATAACTGAGTGTTTCAACAACTTTGAGAAAATCATCAGAAAGAGCAAGAAAAATCCTCCAGAAGTTAGATATCTCCAGCAGGTTTTCCATGGCATCTTTGTTCTGAGCCTCAGGACAGTTGACATGTTATCATCTTCATCTTCTTCCTCTTCTTCCTCTGTGACTCAGATATTTTATCAAGTTAGCTTGGATTCAGTACAATTATATATGATTTTACTGTATGTGGTTGACATTTTTTTCTTTGAATTTTACTTCTTAATGGCAAAATTCAATTTGTCATTTGAAAAGAGAAAATGCTCTGGATGTATCTTCTTAAGACTTCCCCTATACTCTTTAAGTAATCTATAGACTGTCTTTGGCAAGTGACAGTCTTGCTAATCAAATATTTTTATAATTCTAGCCTTCAGTACTGACTGTATTGATAGTAGAAACTAGAAACTTATCCAACCTGTTCTGCAGCTTTTGTTGTACTGTCAGTAGAATTCTTCGGGTTATATGCAAGAGTACAGAAAGCTCACTCAAGTTTTCCAATCAAGAGGCTGTGTCATCTGTTGCATTAAGGAACTCTACTCTTATGTTATTTAGATGTACTAAAATTTTGTCTTTTTAAAAGAGCGTAGATTTAGGATTAATGTTTCTTCTAGGCCTTACCATAGACTGTATAATAGTTTTCGTATCATCACACAATTGATGGTAGACTCCTGCTATGGGAAATATATATTTCATATGTGCACAAATTTTACATTTTATATTTTCTCAAAATAAAAAGAAAATGCATCTGACAGTTTTTCCAGGCCACACTTAGGAAAGAGAAATGATTACCTGCTCTTGCTTGATAGCTGTAAACTAACAGTAAATGCAATTCTTGGCAGCCTCAAGCTGAGATACAACTGACATCTGACTTTGAACATTAAAAATGAATCATCAAGTTTTTTCTTGAAAGTTGTTATTACTATTACACACTTTTGAAGACTGTATACTTCTTGGGACACAGAGACTTCATATACTTTCCCTAAGTCTCATATTAAGTATGGATGACCTAGAACTTATTGTCAGGTTATGTTTTAGCCCTGAAGTTACTGATGTGTGTTTTATATTCTTAATGATGTCTAATTTTTGTAGACATTCTATGGACTGTAAGGACATAACTTTTGTCCCCGTGTTTTCTATCTCATTCCACAAAGAGACAATGGCTTCCAGTTTCTGAGATTAGGTTGCTGGCAAGGCTTTCCTGCACAGAGGAGCTTGAAAGTGACCTCAATTTAAACTCCTCCAAGTATTCAACTGATAAAGTGTACTGATGATTGCACATAGTAAGAGGTGTTCTGCTCATATTTGCCAAAGAAATAAGAAGACACCGTAATATTTCCATCTCAAGGAGTTTGGTATCCAGCTCTGCCTATTGCTCAATGATTGGGATTCTCTTCAAAATGCAGCTGTCCAAGCCCCAGAGACCTATGACCTAAATGGCAATCTATCATGAATTTTGCCAGATCAAACACAAGGACACAATAAAGAGCCTGCAAATAGCAAATCTGCATTCTGCAGTCATTCCAGCCAACATTGCCATGAGACTCCCTGCGATTAATGCTCTTATTAAGAAGAAGACTGTAGTTCACCTTTTCTTTTACCTGGCACCATCCAATTGTTTCAAAAGTAATTACTCCATTTACACCTGGTGTGGCATCTCAAGGATGTTCTCGATGGGTTGTGTTGCCTGCTGCTGATATCCAGTCACTCTCTAACATCTTCCTATTTTATTGCTATGAACTTCTGGATTTGGATATTCAAGTGGGAAGGCAATTATGTACATGTTAATAGAATAAATAAATGAAATGATAAAACATACCTTCATCTTCATCTTCCAGTTGTGCTTTGGATTCCCTGGGGTACATGGCCCTTCTAAGAGTTTTTCTCTCCAGAGTAGTCTGGTCAGCTTCCATATCCTGTAACAAGAAAACTTAAAGATATAAATAAGAAACAATATAAATAAGAGAGCTGTCTGCCACTGTCTTAGCACTAACATTAACCTCAAAGAGACTTTATTTGGACCAGTTAGGCCACAGAACACAAAGGCACAGTATTTTAGAATTTATCTTTTAGAAAATCCTTCTTCGACCACTTTATTCCTTCTCTTTTCCTTGCTCATTCTGGTATGACAAAACCTTTCAAAATAGTTCTTAGGGAATCCTGAATGATTATGACAATAACAGAACATAAAGCTAAGAAAGAATTTAGGAAAGCCCTTAGTCTGCCCCTTGCTGAAGTAGATCAGTCTGGTACAACATTCCAAAAAGACGTTAACCTAATGTGTTCTTAAAAACCGCTCATGATGGCTGTACCACACACTTCCCAGACTATCTATTCCATTCCTTTAAGCTCCTCACAGTTCATGTATTTTTCTCTTAGTCCCTAGTTTAAAACTTGCTTCCTGACATGTTAAGGGTTTTTTTTTGTTTGTTTTGTTTGTTTTTTTAATGAACTGAAAAATATCTCTTTGCCACCCTCGCCTGTTTACCTTTTCCAATTCTTGATCTTGGCGATTCATCAAAGTTTTCCAGTGTTCATAGAGCTCAATGTCATTGTTTTGGATATCCTTTAGAGTCCCTTCCCTAAGCACCATTCCATCCTTCATTGCTATGATCTAGGGGAAAAAGCATCCAGTAAGTCTACTCAGCAACATATATAGCATAATCACTGATGTGAATCCTACCAGAATGTCTTAGAATCGGTGACATTACCATTATGCACATTTTGGTGTTCATTGTATTCAATATTCAATAATAATTTTTAAAGTTTATTGACACAGCCCAAAAACTGAAACTTCTATAAACCAGTCTTATCTGTACCTGTAAAAAAAACATGGATAAGCCATAATAAGTTATAGGCATGACTGCAATTGAGTCACAATTCTCTGGTGGCTTCATTAAAAAAAAAAAAAAAAAGTAAAAAAAAAAAAGTGTTTTTTTCTATTGTAAGATCCATATTTTGTAATGTTGCAGTTAGACACATGATACATAGAAATATATAGATATAGAACTAAGGGGACACTCTATTACCAAAAGCAATAGTGGAGTTGTTAAGCACTTACAGTGTTAACTTCAAATGTATGTTGTCCATTACCAAATCTGCATCATGATATCTTTCCTTACCCAATCAGCATGTGGTAGATACTGTAACTTATGCGTCACCAGAACAAGAGTCCTCTTGTCTTCTTGAAGAAACTTCAAAATTCCTTCCTGCATTAAATGATCACTTAAGTGAATGTCCAGAGCAGAGAATGGGTCATCCTGCAATCAAATAAAAAAAAAAAAAAATAAGAACAAGGTTTTACAAAATGCGTATTTATAATTTCAATAATCCTTTTAAAGTATAAAGTATTTGTCATTACTAATATTTCAACTTTTTCTAATAACTAAGACCTAGTTAAAGGGCTGCAGGATGAAACAGTGAGCTAGAATCCATTATTCTTCAATTCATAGCAATAGATTCATTTGAGTTTTTGTGTCTAGATGTCTGCAGAACTGGTGCCACACCAATAGCGTGGAGTAAACCTAATAGGTAGATCAGAAGTTTCAGGTAGATCTGAAATTTCCCATTCAAATTTGAAACTGCTGGAACCCAGCAACTTTACCTGTTAAGGTAAAGCTGAGTCAGTAACTACACTAATTTCACCCAATCTAAACTGTAGGTTTGGTTGGTCCTGACTTAGCGTGAGTATGAGCAGTAATAAAATAATACTCAGATGTGCAGATGCTTCTCTAAGAAGAAAACCAAGCCCTGCATGAACAGGAGCCTCCTAAAATTTCTGGCATGCCCTGGAATTATTATCAGAGAATGGAAAATCTTCCTGAATCCACAGAGTTCTGCAGCAGACTGTTACACGCTCAGTCTGTTTATAGCTCAGAATTAGTTGCATTATGGTGCTTCTCCTTATACAGAAATCCTGCTGATTTCAGCAGGATTATGTTGATACAAGGTACCACTGTGAGTGAGTAAAAGACAATACGATCTCCTCTAGTGTAGATACCACCTCCATCAGTCTCCCTCTATCAATATGTTTTGATATTGCCTCTTGGTGGTTTTTTATCTCTCATCCCCCATAAGTTGTATTTTTAGTAAAATATAATTCCCTACAGTTTTCTAGAGCTAATGTAAACTTTTCTAAAGGTAAATACAAAGAATGAATGACAGCTTCATTACGAACTATTCATGTTCCATATGAAAAAGAAAAATCTTACCAAGAAGACAATGTTGGTATTCTGATAGAGTGCTCGAGCCACACAGATTCTCTGTCGTTGGCCACCACTTAAATTAATCCCCTAATGATGCAATAGATCAGAAATACACAACTGTGAGTAAACATTATGACAGAAATCAGAAAATGTGAGTTTTTAACAATTATACAGTTCCAATAAAAATCAATTGGTGAGTTAAATTGCTAATCCTATTGATAAACAAACATAATCCTCCCATAAAAGTCAAAGAAAAAATGACTATTAATCAACTAATCTTGGATAGTTAATAGTATAATTAATATGAATTATGAAGAACTTCTCTAAGCACAGTATGCTTCTTAGATTGCGAAATCCAACTGGTGCTAGCATCAAATTCTGCAAGCAAAACTTGAGACTGTGATCAAAATTTCCCCTTGGAGACAACTGAAAAAGGAAAAAAGACTTTCAAAATGTTGTTTTAAATGTCAAAAAAAATAAAAATCAAAGTGCAGCTATTTAAAAGGAGCACACTAAGATTTTTTTTCTCTGTTTTTCAAGAGTTTCTCAACCATTAAAATGGCACTTTTGCTTCAAGCATGTCTACCCTGTAGTTCAAGGATGAAATACCTACCAGTCATGCACAACCCTGAGCTGTTAGTAAACTCACTAGTTTTTGTACTGAGACCTGTGCTGTAGGTGTACGGGACTCAGTCATGTCTAGATGCTCAAGTATTTAATAAATGATGCTCAATCAAGCTTTATATGGCCATGTATACATTGTTGGGATACCAGAATTAGCTTTTTAAAATAAACTCATTCACACATATTCAGACTACAGTTGATATGGGCTTGCCAAGATTTTGGGAATATAGCCCTTCTGACTTAAGATCAGTGCCAAGTAACCCTATTTTTCTGTAGAACTGAAAACAGAGTATAAATTTCATGTGGTCTTACAGCAGCAGCACTCTGCTATACAAACACACTATAAAAGGGCCATTTCCCCCCTCATTTCAAAGTCTATTTATTCTGTTACTGATGGCTAGAGATGTAGGTTTGTTACACAGTGAACAATAAACACACTGAAATAACTCCAGTATAAATCTTTCCCAATTTTCTTATAAAATCTGCACAAACCTATTCCCTTGAGGATCTCTGCTTTCCACAGTGTATCAAAACATGCAGTGTAGTCATTCCGTGGCACAACAAAAAGCAATATATGCAAAATATGGAGGCAAAATATGATCTCTTGAACAAAAGACATTGTTTAAATTTACATCTGTCCTCTCCAGATAAGCAATTACAAAACAATATTGTCTAGTGCCATAACACCTTTCTCAGTGTCATGACTCCGAGACCACTGTACAGACAGTGTAACACAGAACAGATGAGTAGCATCAGGAAGACTCTTCTTAACACAGACTAAGCAAATATGAAAGCCTTCAGGTTATTTACCCTTTCTCCAATTTCGGTCTGATCACCAAATGGTAGTAAGTCAATGTCAGGCTGCAGAGAACACGCATCTGTAACAGCTTTATACCTATAAAACCAATATGATCATTACATTATTTAACCAGCCACTTACTTCATTAACACAAAAACCCTCCAACTCAAATTTCCTGCTAAGTTGCTATGGCTCTGTGATATTTGGATAATTGCAAAAATAAGTAAGTCATAAACACTGTAAAAATTAACATACATATTTATTGGAGATCTTTATTGGCAAGTTGCTGTTTAAAGATTCAGTTACTTCAATTACTATGTTCTTCCTTGCCACTGAGCAGTTTTGTTGGACTCTGGAGTATTTGAAGGCATTTTTCAGTGAGTTATTTTTCTTCCCCTTTTAGGTGCCTCTTCATTAGCTTCAGTGTGATATTAAAGGGCAGAGGATCCTTACAGTGGTTCTGATCTTTCCAGAATCAGAAAACCACTCAGAAATATTTGAAATTTGTTGTGAAGTTGCTAGGCTCAGGTCAGAGATCAGAATATTTGAGTGGTGTAATTCAGCTTTGCCCCTTTGATATGAATGAAGTTAGGCTGATGAACTAGCTGAAGAATCTAGTCCCTGACATTTTGGAAGCTTATTTGGATTTTGAGATTTTTCTTAACTTTTATAAATGGGAATGGAACCAAGCAGCTTATCAAAGAAAACACTGAGAGGAATGAAATGTATTTTTAAGAACTTAAAACAAAGCGAGTATTGCTTTTGTTTTACTGAAGTCATTTTTTCCACTGCATTTGTTAGCTGGCCTTTTTGGAAGGACATAAGACACAAGTACTCGTCAGGCAGAACAGAAACCACACCTCAGCTTTTACATTCCCTTCTCCTGTACTTCTTTCTATAGGAAGAATTAAGATTATTTCCTGGAGGCACCCTATCTGCATTTGTGCACTGTTTTTGTGAAGTGAGTGCTCCATCAAGCTGATCACAGCAGGATAAGGACATAAATTCCCTGGAAACATGCCTTTGGCAACCTCAAGCTCCATTAAAAAAAAAAAAAGGGAAGGCTGGATAAGGCCCTGGACAACCTGATCTAGCTGTGGTGTCCCTGTTCATTGCAGGGAAGTTGAACTAGATGGCCTTCAGAGATCCCTTCCAACTCTAAGGATTCTATGATTCAATGATTCTAAAAACACGTAAGTTTAGCTGCTTGAAAAGTGTACATATGGCTTCTGCTGTATCCACGAGAATGTCTTCTGCCATGTGATTCCTCACACACATCTTAGATACACACTGCCAGAAGGAGAAGCCAAAAACCCTTAAAGGGAGCACTCAGAGTTTATTGTTTGTTTGTTTGTTTTTTTCTGTGACTGGTTTGATATTTACCTCTGTTTATTAAATGGACTCCCAAAGATAATGTTTTCCTCCACTGTTGCATTCAGTAGCCATGGCTTCTGAGCTGCATAAGCCACTGAGTATCTGTTTTTACTGTAGATAAATAAAGAGCATTAGCAAAAAGCAGAGCACCCACATTATGAAGTGTCTGAGAATCAGGAAATAATAAGTGTTCATAAAAAATACAGAGAAACACATAGATAAAGCAATTGTTACAGAAGTGAAGGGAAGAACTGCAAATGAGATGCTTTTGTTAGGGCAGCACCCACTCTCTCCCCTAGTGGCACAGTCTATATCCTATGTTATCCCATGTACTTTATTTTACTACACATGGCTGATACCTACCTCAATTGAGTAAATGCAGTTTCAATCCAAAAGAGGATTACAAATATTCAGAATAATTAAATTATCACAAAAAAAAAAAAAAAAAGAGATTATTTCTTTCTTTTCCTCCAACGTTAGAATAGGTAATGAAAAGGCATTGTTCAAATGTAATCAGTATACTTGACTCACTGCTTTCTGAAGTTTTAGATTATTGTACCAGGCTGTGCATATGAAATACAGATTTTTTTCAGGTAATATTTTTTCCTCTAAGTCTGTTAGTTGCTCAGTGACTGACATGGTACTGGTAGAGAAGACAGTTCAATATGTTCTTGGAAGGAATCATTAGGCATGACTGGAATCATTGGGCTGATGATTGGACTTGATTATGTTAGTGGTCTTTTCCAACCTTAATGATTCTATGTTTCTACAGTTACAGTATCCCAAGAACTCAATAGACTTACTTTTCATTGGTTTTAAAAGCCTCATAAAATATGTAAGAATATGAAAATTCTTTATTTCTGTCTGTTTTGCCTATGTACTGTGGCTAAAAATTTTGTGAATACTAGACATTCTTTTGATATGCTGAGATGTGTGAGGAAGCACTGTTAATGGCTTGTAAATCTAAACACTTATCTTTCTTTGATTGTATTGCTTCAAACCAAATATTTGATGTATCCTTGAATGTAAGTGTCTAGGATTTGCTGTTGAGAGAGAGGGTGCTAGGGTATGAGTAATAGCTGGTTAGAAACAGTCAGTAGTACCCCAAAATTTTAGCAGTTCATAGGCATTCAATATGGACTAGCATGAAATATGTCCTTAGGACAGTCAGATATCAAATAATGGTGTGGGTCCCAACCACAGCTACCTGTGCCACTACTTGTTTATCACTGATTAAGCTTGCCCTTCTTTTAAAGCTGCAGGCCATCTCACAGAAAGCAGGGCTGGAATCACAGGCTAACTTCAGGTAGACCACAGCCAGCTCCCTTTGCACACCGTGTGCCTTGCTTTGTCACACAGCTGTCAAACTGGGTTAGCAGCAGCACAAAACCCAGTGCTGAACAGAAGATATGCCCACGTGGGAGGGTACACATAATGATGACTTGTATCTTGAGGCCTTATCTTGTGAGATACGGAGCACAGTGAACTCACAGTGATGTTGAATAAGAGCTGGAAGTGCTCAGTGTCTTTCAAGCAAGACTTTGGCCTTTCTGAAGTGCTGGACTTCAGACTGAGGTAGTGGTACAGTGGCTGGAAAAGATCGGGATCCACCGGATTTAGCACAATTTGCCAGTTATTTCTGTAGTAAATGATTATCAACAGGAAGGAAACAGAGATGGCTGGAGGGTACAAAGATGAAAGTTTGAGGAAATTCTGAAAAATGAGCGCATTATGACACACTAAAAACAGAGATAATACCTTCTGGATGCTTCAGAAGAAGGCTCAGTTTCATTTACACTGCAAGTTATGGCAAATGACATTTAGTAAGCAGAAAACACCAAGACTAGCTTATTGTGCAAGTTTTATATACAGGGGAACTTAGTTAAGTACAAATTTTAAGAATAAAATATCAGTTTTCGTGTATGTGTGTTTTCTTCTTCTAAAGAGAAAATAAACATGGTTCAATCAAAGGCATAGAGTTTTTGGAAATACTACAGCTTTATATCTATTGTGCATAGTGGTTTAACAGGCAAGCTATGTTGTTAGAAAACACATTAAAAATGAAAAATGTGTCTTACAGTCTGTTCAAACTGACATTGTTAATGTTGCATACGCATATGAAAGGTTGACAAGCAATAAACTAGTTCCTCCATACTGTTCCACCAATGACCCGTGGAAGCTGGCAACAACTCTAATGTCAGATTTCTTCTGGATCAAAGAGAAGCTCTGCAGATAAAATTCTGCAGGGTGCACATGACACGTTTTTGCTTTTGAACCAACACTAATTTTGAACTGGTTTGTAGCAGAGAGACTGCATCAAGCTCCACACAGCACTGCAGCGTCTAGACTTTTCTTAAGAAGTCAGCCTCTACTTCTTAAGGATTTGATGAATGATTTTGCAGTGTTCTGTGCCCATTAATTGACTTATTAACGGTGTCAAGGGCATGGAATGCCAGTCAAAAGAGTTCTAGACCAGCAAAGATGCTTGCTGTCGGGAATGATGGCACATCGCTGCAACTGCAAATCCTTAAAGAGTAAGTTTATGCCAGGTGAATGGAAATTGGCTAGAGAGAGAAAGGACTAAGAAAATGATATTGTTGTGTTATTTGTCTCACTTAAAACAAACTACTGAATGAGCGAAGCAAACAAATCCTCTCTTCCCAAATCTACAAACCCTCCACGTGAAATACTTTACTACTGCAATGGAAATGTCTGCTAGCCTGCTGGAATACCATAACTGCAGCTGCACTTATAAACGGAGGATCCAAGTCTTGTAGAGGGTAGAAAAATTCTAATTCTAACCTTATTGTGACAGACTCACACAGTAAAACATCTTTCCAAAGTGCCAGAACTGACACACGTTGCTTCATGTGCTGCACATCAGCTCTCTAAGAACTTTGATAATTTAGGCTTCTTTAAGTGTGCAATCACTGTGTTTTCTTCATGCACCAACTGCCACAAAATATGTTAGATTAGCCCTGTTGATTATCTCAGAGGAGTCAGAGAGACACAAAAGGAAACACAAAACAGATATTGCTTCATAAAAGTTGGTGTTTTATGATAGAAGTTTCACACCTTCTCTACAGTGGAAAAAAACTTAAAGGGAAGCAAAAGATGAAGACTAATGAGAGAATAAAGAGAGATCAGAAATTAGGTCAAGCCAAACAAAAACGAAAACCTAGACTTCCTCTATTAAAAAAGCACAGACTTTTATACTTACAATAGTGCATTAAAATAGTGGAGAAGGATAGGGATAATGCTTTCATGAATGCATTGGGGATGACTTCAGAAGTAAAATTTAAGAAAAAATGGGCACAGTCCCTACAAAACCCTTACAATCCCTTACCAGCATTATGTTTGCCATATGTTCAGATGGCAACAGAGCATTCAAGCCTCATGATGGACTTTCACAGTAATGTATTGCAGGATTGCTCCAGGATTAACAGCGGCCGAAGTCTGATACATCATTACTATACTGTATTGTTACACCTGAATTCACCTAGACTGCACTTCCTACCTGGATCAATAGCTACATTATTCATGCATGTTGAATCACATGGAGAGGGATCTAAGGAAGTAAATAGGACCTTTATTATGATTTTGTAAGGTATAGGGTCCACTTACTCAGGTAAATAACTGAGATATTAATCTCCCTGTCAGGCAGTCTGAAATTATCAGCAAAAACCATGCTTGCATCAGCTATGACACAGTACCAAGTCATAGTTTTCAATGAAAAAGATACTTGGTAAGGCTTGAGATGCTTGCAAAAACTTGAGTTACTCATTTGGTTGTGTGCAGACTGATGCTATGATCCTATCCTCTTGAACATTGTGAAGCTTCAACATTATTTCATATTCCTTATGCATATCTTTCAAACACTGCTCTATTTCTTTGGTCTAAGATTTCATATCCTTCCATAGGAATTGATCTGAGTCTCTCAAACACATATTAAAAAACAGTTGTGGGAATAATTGTTATGTATGCTCTTCTGATTTCTCTTTTTTTCTTAACTTACAGAGGAAAAAAATCCACCTCATTGTGAGGTCAATGTTTCCATGGTGTATCTCAAAGAAATTAACCATGGCAAGTCACATATTCTTTTTTCATCAAAGCTGAAATTTGCATGTGGCTGCACTGAAGTTAGTCTTGCCTTGGCTCCAACTATACCTATTACTCCAGTGAGATCATATGTTTAGAATAGCTGACAGTGAAATATGGCTAGAGAACAAGAAAATGGCATGCATGCTAACACAGGAAAGCAAAAATATCCAGCTTTCAACATTGCTGTAAGAAAAAAGATGATGACGCAGGTTACTTACTTCAATATGGGCAAAAATAATATTGGTCTCTGTGACAAAATTCATCCTTTCAACTGAAAGAGCTATTTAGGAAGAGTTTGGCTTGGTAGATTCAAGGAAACAGAACTGATCTTTAAAACCAGAGAAAAAGTCTTGGGGTTACAACACATCTCTACAATAACCTCTGTCTAGACTATGCTGGAAAGGAGGTTGCTGTCTCCCATAGTTTTCATTCATTGACTCTAAATCTATGTAGAACCAGAGGCCTGACTCCATCCACAATTCCCTCCTCAGCAATAACTTTTTCAGAACCTTTGCTCTTTAGTATTTAGCACCCTCAGTCTGCTTTCTGTGTGCATACTGTGAAGAGTAGCACTGAATTAAACAGGAGAGGCTTGGGCAGATATCAGGAAGGGGAGACAGCATTCCTCACATTTTATTATTTAATCCTTTTTTTTCCTTCAGCTAGCAAAGTGGTAAAGTAAGCCTTTCCTATACAGTACACCAAATAATACCACTCAACTAAAGAAGCTCCAAACTGTAATTCCCTTACTTATGTATGTACAGATGCAGCATAACAAAGCTGATTTAACAATCTAGGTAGGAATCCAAATCAGAGCATCAGTTTTCCTTTCACATTGGTTAACTCTACCATCCCTCCAATGCTTCTTGAAGAATCTCATTATTTGCACAACTTGCATTGAAAATATTATGTAAAGTGTTACTAGACAACAAACATTTCTGATGAAACACTACAGATATGAATTGCACCTTATTGTTCTTACTTCATGTTTTTTTGCAACAAGACTTTCTTCACATATAATGACTACTGTAAATTAGAGCTGACTGCCATCACAGAAGGTGATTGGATAATTTTCTGTTCTTTCTATGTAAAATAGTCTTTCTACTCAGGTCATCTGCTAGGGCTAGTATACTAGATACTAATTACCAGATTAGATTATTTCTCTTCCTAAGGCACCCTACTTTATCTGCTCTGACTTTGCTCTACCTGCTCTAAGCCATGAACAAAACAGCAATGAAAAGCTTGAGTTTGCTGATGATGTTTTTCAGAAAAGATCTAGGTAATGTAAATAGATATTTCTTTAACAAGCAGTTCTGAGACATGAAATTTACATTTCTCACAGCAAAATCCAACTTCTCCTTCTTTACTGAAAACAAACAATTAGTAGTTATATAATACATACTTGCTCCAGTGAACTTTTCCTTCCAGGGTCTGCATCTCTCCTAATATAGCAAGGAGAAGTGAGGACTTGCCACAGCCAACTTGACCCACAATCATTGTCATCTGACCTATGATAATGATAAAAAAAAAATTAAAAAAAACACAACAATAGAACAGGAAAAAAAATCAATTCTTCTCAAGTCTACAAGACATAGCTAGATCCAATTCTACAGCACATGAGATTGTTAGCATCCACTGTGTAACCTGGCAACATTGCATCAATTCATCTGTGATATTACTTTAATGGAAAATACAAGTACACACTAAGCTCCAAAAGGATGAGAATAATATTTGGACACATACAATCTGCAACTGAAAGATCCTCTATTTTTTTCTGCTTTGCTGTACTATTCCTTCTTCCCAGCACTGCTTTCCTACCTGCAGTTCTTTCCTACAGTGGCATTAGGAATTTTACAGCATTCACCATCACCACCATCATCAAAATAAAAAATAATAGTTTTCACACTTGCTATGTAGGTCTCCCAAAACAAATCTGTAAATACGTGGAATTCCTAGCCAAAAAATATTGTGGAGGCACTAACCTTACAAGGGGCAAACTGAACAACTTGAAAGATAAATTCATTAAAGACTCCTTGACAGATCACAGCATGAAGGTCAAGGAATGCACTGAGATGAAAATAGTTCTAGAGTGGGAAACTGTATTGAAGAAAGGCAGGAAAAGTATACTAGTTGTCTGCTGTATCCTTGTGCACTAACTTTTGCCTGCTGCTTTGACCAAAATCCTGGACTAGATGTACTCGTGACCTGAATGAATCTAGAATTCTCTCTTTCTCTTTCTCTCTCTTTTTTTTTTTTTTTTTACTATTTTATTCAAAATAATAATGACATTTTCTGCAACTATCATTTTAAAATTTATTCTTAATGTTTATGATCTTTCTGTTCTTATAAATATAATATTAACAATAAATTATACAAAAAATATGTAATTTTTTATCATTTAAAGCATTCTAGGTTAATGATAAAGTTATACACCCCATATAGTTTATAACCTTGTATAACATTTGACTTTTTTTTTTCTTTTAAAAAGTGTTTTATTGCTTATAGTAATGTTAAGAAATTGAATTAGTAGCATTCTGCTGTTATGTATTTCATATTTAAGATGTGCTTTTATCCTACCTGTTGGGATTCTGATATTTATATTGGACAAGGTAGCCAAACCACTTCCCCATGAAAAGTATCCATTGGTCACCTACAAAGAAATTGTCACGTATGAGACATAGAAAAATGTGAGAAGTGAAAAATAGAATGTCTAGTTTGGATTTAAAATGTGTTAATAAATGCCTTATGGGTATGATGACATATGCTCAAACACATGCAAAAAAATGCAAGATAGGTGAGCAAAGGCAGCCAAAATTAGAAATATAAGAAGCTATACACGTAAATTACATACAGTATGAAGTGCAATAAGGTAGTATGCTTGAGTTCAACTTTGTTATGCTAGACATTTTCATTTTGTCAAGTAAAAGATTAAACAATAAAATAAAGATAATAGGATCTCACAGGTGACGGTCTAAATACCATAGCTTATCAAGCAATGTGTCATTCTGCACACTGTGATATTATGGCCTATTCTGAACGGATTCCTAAAGCACTAACTGAATATTTTCAAGGTTTATGCTGGACACACCTGCTGATTTTGTTTGTTTGTTTGTTTTGTTTTGTTTTTGTGTGCATATGTCCTTTGGAGTTAACAGAGTCAAGAAGCATTATTCGCATAGAAAACAAGGACATGTGTGGGAAAAAATTGTCCAAAATGACTTAAAATAATGTAATGGTAAATTACGTGTCATAATAAATGACAGAAAATGACATAAAAGTTTTGATCTTGATTCTATGAGCAAAATAGAAGTATAAGAAGGGAAACTAAACAATCTCTTAATTTCTGCATATGGATTCTCTAGTTTTTGTTCCTTTAGACTCATGATGCCTGTTATTCCCAAGAAGATAAGGAAGCAGTAGAAAGAGTTGGTCTGAAGAGAAGTCTTCTCACTTCATTTTTGTTTAAAGTGCTAATTTATTTAGGGGTTTTTTGGCTTGTTCTTGGATTGGACAATTTTTCTTTGGAAAAGCAGCAGCAATTGCACTCTCTCTGGTACTGCTGTAGGACTGAGCAGAAGAATCTGCTGTTTGTAAAGTATGTATTGATGTTTTCAGACCACCTTGATTGCGATGTCATCTGTCTCCACAGGGCGTGTTTGCCTTCTTGATGACTGTTCATAGTTTTCAAGCTGATACCTTAAGGGCTGCCTCCTGTTGATGGCCTTGGTGTGCTACATAGTGAAGCGAAAGAAAAAAGTTGGAATTTGCAAGCAAGGACAGCATTTGGTTTCTTAGCAAAAAGAGAATCTGTTCCCATTTCTCCCAACACTCTTGGTCACAAAAAGAAAATGCTTTTCAATATCTATCATATAAATACTGCAAAATTTTAAATATTTTTAACTGAAGCACAGGAATTGATCTTTCCATGCTGTTTTCCCATGCATAACCATCTCACATTTCAGCTCTCTCAGCCTCTTCAAAGCACTAGGTAGATCTGCCCTACCTGAGGTAGCTTCAAACAAAGCTGTATCAGTAAAAGTGTAATGACATGTAGATCTACCATCTTAGCTCTTGGTTGTTTTTGTCAAGTTCTAGTCACATTTCAAATTACATCATTACATACAGTTTTAAACAGTTGAGGTCGCTAGCTTTAGAAAAACTTCGAAGTGTTTTCCCAAATTTTGTGGGTGTTTTTTTTAATGCCTATTTTATTTATGTATTTAGGTTGGCTAGTTGGTTTCTGGCTAAAATGATTCCTCAAATTTTACTCAAATTCACTTGTATTTAGCACATCTAGAAACAGCATTATGGAATGAATTTCTATTCCACAAACTTTACTGTTGTTTTTTCGATCTCCAGTTCTGCATTTCCCAAGGCAAGAATTGTTCTTACTTAAAAATGTCCAAAGTACTGACTGAGATTGTACTGACAATATACACTACAATCCCTGTAACTATACAAAATGCACCTGAAATAATTTTGAAAACTAAGAAGGCTGAATCATCCCCACATAAGTTTGTTGGTGTGTTCTGGTATTTTTACTACTATTGGCAATTCAGTAGAGCTTCAATGTATTTGAGGACTCTTCATGCCATAGAAAGACAAGTCCCTAAACAAAAGAGGCAAAACTGGTCAAGAACAGAATCAAGCAAGAACCCCAAGCCCCTGAGCACTATCAATAGGGCATTTGCCTCACACTGGGCTCTGAGGCCTCTCTGTTTGAAATTCATTGTCAAAAAACAGAACTTACAAGTCCTGTGTGCTTCTTACAGGATTCATAAGCTACAGAATTGTCCCCACCTCTCCAGCTGTCATCTCCAATCTCATCACTGAGGAGAAATTCATTCAGCTTCTGTACACTTAAAAAAAAGCAAACACAGGATGGTTAAATAAGCCCAAGATACTAAGGGTACATTTCCAGCCCAGACAGCAGGATACACCCAAAAGTATTCCAAGAAAAGTTTGCAGGATACATTCCTTTGCCTTTTGGACCATCTGTTACCTAAGTGAAAAATTATATATGCAGTAAAGGACACGTGAAAATAACTAAACACTGTACGGGAGCTGGAATTGAAGAGGAGAGCTAAAGTCATAGGATTTCTGCTTAAGCTCTGTGGGAATTATTTCCATCTCAGCAGATTTTTCTCTGCTGTACTTCCATGTCTACACACAGGACTTATATAAAGTAATTTACTTGCCTACATCCTCTGAAAATGCAAACGCAGTAGATGTATCCTGAATACAACTTTGGCATAAACAGCATTCTAATAAGACTGGATAATGCACAAAACTGCACAGCCATAGCCAGCCTCAGAGCAGCACAGCAAGAGTTCTCTCAATCTACTTCATAAAACTCTTTCATGGGAAATAAAGCACACACGTTCAATGCATTCTTCATCACAGAAGGACATAATTCTCCTTCTGTCCCATTTTCTTTAAGTAAGCCATAAGTATAGGGCTCTATCATTCTGAGGAAGGGATCAATATAAGAAATCACCTACCATGGTGAAATCATGTCACTTTGCAAAAACTAAAATCAAGGTGCAGGAGAAAGCAGGAGAACATATGGCTTTAGATCAACAATTTGAATATTAATATGAAAATAGGAAAGTAGACCTGTTGCAAGGCCTGTATCTTTATTCTTCATGAAATTATCAATAGCTGTTTAAGCTATGGAGACACATTCATTATTTCATAGTGCCAGTATAGCTGTTCATATCTTCTGTTTTGAAAAAGAAAACTTAGATGTCTAACTACTGTATTAGTATTTCAGTTTTTTGTAAGGATATCTGTGTCAAGCAAGAATTTCTCTTCAAGAAGAAAAGAAACCTCACTCTGATCATCACCCTAAGAACACAACAATCATTACTTTGTGTTTGAATGAGGACAGGTACTCACAAAAGCTTTCATGTTACTGGAAGTACTCTTTAAAATGAAATGGAAATTTGGACCAAAATATTAGGGCTTAATTAGAACACAAATGAGTGCATAGTTATATATTTGATTGATGGTGGACATTCTTCATTCCTCACTTGGAGGATGTGATGCTCATGGGAGAAAGATTACAGGAAAGAAGGCTGTCAAAAGCTGGAGTTTATTTAGGCAAATATGGTATTAAGTAACGTTCTGAGGGATGGCCAGCAGCGATAAGGAAAACGTCAGCACAATTTTGACATCAAGGCTATGCTAAATGTAGTGCAAAGATGTAGAGGCTAGTATGATTTATAAGGGAGAGTTGGTATTTTCCACTAGGCAGAAATCATTTTCAGCATAGAGAAAATCTCTCACATGATTCCCCTGCTGCTTTGATAAATAATATTTGTTTATTTTTTTATTTAATGAGTGAATGTGCTGCTGGTAAATTACAGCTATGAAGCTTGAAGTCCCCTTGACTACTATTCCAAGGAAATGTTGGGAAGACTAGTATGATCTTCATGTCATGCTAGTGCTTGGCATCTGACACGTTACTGCTAATCAGGCGTCAGATTCTACTCTTGGGACAGCTTGGCAGTGTCTACAAAAATGCCCCATAACCATGACTATTTCCATACAGTATTTACATACATAACCATGACTATTGCATCCTCTGATGCAATAAGTGAAGGTCTGAAATTTGTCTTACTACAAATATGGTCCCTTGATATTACATGGTCTATAACCAAGAAGCTGTTTTGTCAAGTTACTTGCAGAAGCAAATGCCTGGCACATACATGCTTCTGATGAAGCAACACATTTTATGAGTCCCTTTTTCTTTTTTTGAAATCTTTCCCACTTTGTGCCAGTATCTTTGCTGTCCTGCCATGCAGATCTCTTGCACTCAGCAACTAAACTCCCAAATGTCTGCCTTGCCATCCGTCCTCTACTGCACCTCTCTACTGCCATTCAGGAGAAAACAGAATTTCCTTTATAAGAAAAAGACCTGTAGTGCTGTTTCTCTTGTGTACTTAGTCCTTCAGCACCCAATGTTCCTCCAACCACCTTCCTGTCAAAGAGAATCCATGCTACTGTTGGACAATAGAGGTATGTCAATACTGAATTCTTACTCAAAGCACCATGCGTTTTGTGGAGAGGTCAAGTTTAGCCTGTTGCTCTTCCCTGCACCACCAGGGCAAATCTTGTGGGACAGCTCAGATCAGCCTCTCTAATCTTCTTCTGTGTTGGCTATAGCCCATAGAAGCACTATGTGAGAAGGGAAGCATCTTCATCCCAAGAGAGAACAGTGTGGCTCTGAATCTAGACATCCAAATTTGGGGGATTATAAAAGGAACAGAACATTCATCTGTCTCTGTATCATTCAATGAAGAGAAACTGTTATTGTTTTCTCTCAGGTATTGTCAACGGACATTGCGAGTCTCACCTTTAAACCCCGTTCCAGGTGAGCAAGTAGAAAAAACCTTTTCTGTAACACCTTCCTTGCTATATTACTGAATGTAGATATTCAAGAGAAACTATTTATAGAGTAAGCTGGGACCACTTACCTTACGATAGCCTTGACTGCAAAACGAACCACAGTGGAAAGCAGAAACAATGGTGTGACCAGGATGTGGAACAACGACAGTGATGCAAAGGCCTGGGCAGGCTGCAGAGGCTTGTCACTGGTGTATGCATAAGTCACAAAAGTCTGTCAAGTCAGAAGGAACAGGAAATTATGTATAAAGACTCTTGAATAAGATGGGTAAAGAAAGCAAGGAAATGTTTTGCTTAAATAAGGCCAATAACTGCATATCTCTGACATAATTCCAGAAAATTGAAGGGAAAAGTGACTCCTGTTACAATAAAAAAAGATTCAGAAAGCTTGCCAGTGATTTCAAGTGACTCAGACATTTACAAATGAAAAAAAAAATCTTAATAAAATAAAAGCATTCAGCTTTGTGAAGTCAAACTGTCAAGTACTGTGAAGTTTTGTAATTGATTTCAGTGTTTTGAGGAAGCATACAATGCAGACAAATCAGTAGAAATGTACTAAATGTTGTGGTTTTTCCCCCACAGTTACAGCACCATTAGATATATTTCACTCAATCCTGGTAAATATCACCAGCACAATCTGAGGAATGCCCTCAGATTTTGGTTTATGAAGAATTCTTACTGAACAGCAGGTGGTACGCCCTCCAGTTCGTTAGATTGAGATTTAAATGGCCAGAGTACAATCAAAAATTTATTTCATCTTAAACTCCATAGTATGCTTTCGTGAATACTGAAATGGTGGCTTACAATACACTTTGTAACAGGAATGATTTTCACGGTTAGGCAGCAGGAAAGTAAAGCCACCTTAAAAATCTTCAAAATGAGAGCTTCTAAAAACAGGTTTTCTTTCAAATTGATACAGTTATGTTGAGTTGATCTTTTTTTTTCTTTTTTTTTCTTTCTGTCAATTAAATCTTATATTTCCATTAGTCTTTAGTTAGTTAGTTTATGAACCCAAATCCCAACTGATGAAATTCCAGTACATTGGAATGGGCATTTCTAATAACACCACCCTCCAGCCAGTGGGTGCACTCTTCTGCTGGTTTTATTAACAGTAACAATGGTCCTGCAGTGGCAGTAGTGTCTTTTTATTTCCTCCCCTCTCTTTTTCTCTCCCCCTTTTTAAAGAAAAGTGAAAAGAAAAATTCTTACTGCAAGAACAGCTGCTATTGGTATGGCTGCATTCATAAAAACTAGGAATGGAAAAAGAACAAGCATCAGATTTACATGACATATATAAAATAGCCATACAATTAGTTCTATGACACAAGAAAAATCTGTCTATTTCCAATTCAAATACTTAAAATGCCAAAAAGAAAAATCCTTCTGCAGGAAGAAATTGCCTTCCATGACAGAGAGAAATCTTTAACACACAAATGAACAAGCCAAATAATTATTTCCTTTGTATACTTCAGTGAATTAGGATAAAAAGTTTTATGTGCATAATTGTTATGCCACAAAACTAAATCACCTATCAGCTCTTCTTCAGTACAGGAAATACAATTTCTATCTGACAATTATTTATCTTTGCTAATCTGTAATCTGCTGATCTGTAATCTGAGTTTCTGATTTTATTACAATTTGTAATGCCATAATTAAGGTGACAAAAAACTTTCTAAAGAGATGAAAACAATGTATTGTCAAGTTTCTATGCTACATATTTATCATATATTTTGTTTCAAGCGTGTTCCACATTCAAAAAATGTCATAGGCACAGTTATGTCTTGTTCTAACTGAAGTCAGAAGGAATGCTGACATGGAGAATCCATTTCTGAAAGCTAAAAACAGTTACTTACTGGAAAGAGATGTATGGAGTGCAAAGGTTTTGAGACTGGTGAGTTCCTTCATTCTTGTTTCCTCCACGCTCTTACAAAATATGTGCTCCCAGGCATATAGCTTTAATAATTTAATGCCTTTTAGTATTTCATTGGTTTTCTTTAATCTCTCTGTAGAATAGTCCTTCATTTCAAATGAAAACAAGAATAAGTAATCAATAATGCTTTGTAGTTTTAATGAGAAAGCTTTTTTCCATTTAATCTGTTGTAAAGTTCATTAAAGATATATGTATATATTTTGTTTATGAATTTGCACAGGCAGTTGTCACACTGAGTAAAATAACATGTAATTTCAGGCTCTTTGGAGATGTTAAAATACCTACAATCAGAGGGGAAATTAAATGACTCTATTCGAAGTAGAGAAGTAAAATATCTGACCCCCTCAGATAGAAGTTGAACCTCAGGAAGGTAGAATAGGCTGATGACATTCAAAGAATAGCCATAAGAATAAGAATAGATAAACGTGTAATTGCTGATAGAAGATTCCTTTTGGGATTCATACAGAATGGTCATGAAAGTAGGTGAGATGTTTATTCATATATTTATCTAATCTAACTAATTGCCCCTCTCCAGAAAACATTGCTCATATGTTTCGGTAAAATCATAATCCAAGTTATTTTGTGAGTCAGAAATCAGAAAAAAACAAACAAACAAACAAACAAAAAGAAAGATTGAGACTATTTCTGAAAGAGTATAGAAGATAAATCCTTTCTTGATATTGCAGCTCAAAAGAATTGAAGTGTACTGAAAATTAAACCTACTTGCCTATAATTTGCTTACTGAATATTAAGATAACAAAGATCGTTACATATTTGAAGACTCACATACCAAAGGTTGATCAAAAAAGTTCAAAGACCGTGAGAATAAGGTTAAGCATTGGACAAAGCATTAAAAAACATTTGTAATCAGTGACATAGACAAGAAGATAAAAAGTGTACAATAGATATTAATCAAACAATGTCAACTGAGTTTTAGAGAATGCAAAAGCTTGGAGTGAGAGTATAGAGTCTCTAGCCATTTCAGAGGAGGACTGTACACATTCTTTAATAATGTGCTCCCACAATTTATCTGTCATTTGTACTAGTTGGTAACATCCCATGACATACAACATTTTAATTCAGGAATAATATCCTTTCATGGAATTGAACTCAGATAAATCTGTGCTATTTGGGAGAAAACAGTCTCTGCAGAGAAGGCAGGTCAGGGCCCACATACTTTTTCGAATTCTTATCTGACAAACACAGGGAACAGGTCCTTTCCAGATCAGAAGAACCACGAGAATAAATTACTCACCAGTGTACTCTTCTGAGCCTCAGCCAACTTGGTAGCTATGAAGTACTGTATTGGTGCTAACAGTACAATTACAGCAGCACCAACCAAAGCACTGTCTCCAAGCAAATTATAAAGTAGGATTACGCCCATTATTATCTATGGAAAAAAAAAAAAAAAAAAAAGAAGCATGGAAGAAAATGTACATTTAATACATCCAAATGATAGCAAATATTATATATGCATATATTCTAACAAAAAAGCTAAAAGATTCACAGGAATCAAGTGAGAATTTATTTCAGGAGCTCACATTTAGAAAGTGAAATTAACGTTGAATTGTAGAAAGAAAATTAACATATTTATTTTTGAACACAAACTACATGTTTTGTTTTAGTACCTGTCAGTACTGATTCTGTACAATATTTCTACAGAACTGAAGCAGCATCAAAACGGTTGGTTCTTGCCCCAAGGCATTTGACAGAACCACTGGCCTCAAGTCTTATTTACACTAGATCTCCTTACATCACTCTGGAAGCATTCAAAGGTCTTGAATGCTGTCATGAATCACTTTTGCCTTCTGTCCTCTGGGTCCTCTTCAACTGGAGACAGAGGCGCGTCTGAGACAGGCACCAAAGCACAAAGCTGCACAAATGTGCAGGGAGTGACACAACCCTGATCTTCTACTTCAATACTGCATAGTTCTGTAGGAAACTACCAAGATGCTGGCTGAGCTCTACAAAGAAGATAGGAACACTTTCCACAAAGGTTCACTTGGGAGTGATTTTGATGCAATTACTGTGATTCTGGTGCCAGAGCTAACACAAGTTCTACATCATCAAGTATTTTTATATAAAGCTCCACTTCAAAGTACAGAGATATCCTCAGTGATAGCAGGACATTTGGAATTAGTTCCCTACTTTGAGTCAGATCTCTCTTTAAGTCCATATTGTTAGACAGTATCAGAAATAGTTACCAGTGGAGTTCGACATTTTGAAAGCATTATTTAGCTTTTCAGGCATCTGCAATGTAAGCTAATGAACCTAGATACCTTTTTCTTAGCAGAATACTACAAGGTTACAGGTTATTTCTACTTGGGCTTAAATCTGAGCTCTTAACTCTTATGGTGGGTTTCATCCTACAATGTGTTGTTGCCCTTGACAACAGGCCATACATTGGTAGATGCACAACATATTTCCTAAGGTTAACCAGTCCTCAGCAGTCTATGGACAGTTACACTATCATTAAGCATGCTGTGCAGATAAAAGTTTGGTATTTGCTATAGATTGCTCTTCCTGAGGTGGGGACAGATTTGACAGTAACTGTTTCTTGGGACATTTCTTGAAGCTTATTTCCTTTGCATAAGGCAAGACAGGATAGTCCTCTCATTTTTATTTTTATTTTTTTAAATAGCAGTATGGTTCTAATCCAGCCCTTATTTACCAACGATTATTTCCTAATCTTCTATTTTTTTTCTTTTTTCTTTTTTTCCAAAGAGCAGATAGTTGAGCTCATCAGGCATTCTGACATCTTACAACAAGAAAAGTGTCACTGACATCAGCTTTATAATACTTTGAGAAGGAAATAGCATATTTTCCTTCTATTTTTACTGTTGAAGCAGAGCTGTAAAATAATCATTACAATTAATAGAGCTTAAGTGCAGGAGCCCTGTATAGCCCAGGTCACAGATGCTCACTAAGTTACTCATTAGGTGCAAATTCATGGGTGAAGCTATGCTCATTCTTGAACAAAGCTGTGGTCAAGCTGTCCCTGTGCTCAGTCTTCTAATTCCCTGGGGCTGAACTACAGGAACCAGTAAAATAAACAGAAACTTCCTCAAAAAAACCTGTTAGAGTACTGGTGAGGAATGCCATTACATTTCTTCAGCAGCTGAGACAGAAACTGTTTATTAAAGAAACAGTAAATGGTAAATTTAATGGAAATGTATATTCAATTATTCACTAGCTACAGGAAACAGACCACCTGTTCATTTAGAAACACTCCGGTATTAGCAGCAACACTTCCAAATAAACCTGAGGAAACCAAATAAGCCCTCTCATTATTGACTTATGACTTAAAATAGAATCCTCTGTATTATTTCAAACTTCTGTTATTACGCAAACTTCTTTTGTCTTTTTCTCCATGAATTATTTTATCACCTAAACCTTACCCTATCCTAAAGTATACACATAAAAGCAATATTTGTTTCCATTAGTAGTAATCATATTGCTGACTATTACAACAGCTTATTAGAACAGTTCCAGGAGTTTCAGCAAAAGTGTGGCTTCTGCCCCTTTTTTAACTTGTTTGGAGTTGGTGGGATCATATGTAGGTTAGAACCATTCCATTTCCACCAGAAACTGAACTTTTGGAGTTGTTATAGGGTTCAGGCACTGTGGAAAATAAGTATGGCTCAGGTCAAGTTATTTAGCCACTTCTGAATATTTCCTTTAAATTAATAGTTTTTACCTTGCCTTCTCACACATGCTTTTCCTTCTTTCCCTGCCTTGTAGATGTTTGCAGTAACTAAGCTTGTTTAGATCAGAGCTCCTCTGAGCATGTTGTTCAGCCCAACAGACCTTCCATTAGTCAATAGAGCAGAATTCAATTCCTTTTCATTCCAACCACTAAGCACAGCTACAAGTAGGCACTGCAAATGCAATGCTTGGCACTGCAGAGATGCTGCTTCCATGCGGCAGAAGAAAAAGCAACAATTTGTGTCAGTAGGGGAAGACAGGTGAGCAGAGAAAAGACAACAGGCTATCATCTATCATCCATAAAGTTACAGATTGTACCCAGGACAGCAAAATCCTAGTAAAAAAAATCCTCACTTTACCAGTCCCCTGAGAGACAATCTCCCAGCTCTGGGAGATGATGGGCCACATTTCTGCTTGTCAGTTCTCTTCCTGGCAAATGAGTGTGAAACCTATTGTTAAAGGTTCCCTTTTGGATTAGGTGGTAGTCTCACAGATGTATACTCTTTTCTAATGGGCTGGAGGATCCCAGCATTATGTCCTTATTTTGATGCTCTACCTGAACAGGCATAGCCCACAAATTGGGGCACAGGAACAGGAACCACATTAATTGATTTGTTTCTATGGCAACCAAGTTATTGATTTGTCCCAGTGTCATCTCTCCCATGGACAAGTTGGATGTGGAAAGCCGCAGGATCTTATCGTATATCATTGCCTGTGGAGGGAATAAAATGGTATCTATGAAAAGGAAGTCGTTAGAAAACAATATCAGCAGCAGGATGTTTCAAGCTGCAGTATTGGTAATTACCTAGCACAGCCTTTCTCTCACTTGAGACGAGGCAAAACAAGAAAAAAAATGAGAGATAACAGACTTCTAAAACCTCCTAAAGCATTGGTGTTTGATGCAGACCCAAAACAGAACAAAGACAACAAAACATGAAAATTCAGGAGACTGAGCAAAGAATTTTTTTTAATAAACACTTGGTGAGGCTGGTTTTCTGTGGCACTGTTAAGGAAATTATTATTTCCAGTGCAATAGTTGAGTTTATATTCCTTCATACTTCTCTCCTGTACCTGGTCATCTATTCCCATAAAATATGTCGGAGCACAACAGGGTTTAAGGTTAATTAGTTATCTACCAGAATTTTAAAGACAAATACTGTGAGACTAGTTGCAGCTATGATCAAGTATCACAGTTGTGTCTTCAAGGAAATTTTAGAAAAGATTTTTGCTCTTCACCCTGTTTTATCTGTGAGCAGGGTAGATTCTGTAGAATTCCCATTTTGACAACTGGGAATCATAAAAGCATAAGGAAATGATGAGGTGCTGTTTCTTCACCAAGTGTATCCTCCTGTGTTGAAACAGCTGCATCAATCACAGTGCAAGCACAGAGAGAAGCCTTCACACTGGTACAGTATTCTGTGGTTAGCTACACCTGGGAAAACATCAGTTCCAGCTTCAGTGTTGCACAAATTCCTGCTACTGTCTGTGGAGTTTTGTCTGCAGATGTCCTGGCTACAGCCCAAACTGAGTTGGAAATTCTGGCTCTTGTTCATAAACATGACTTTTATAAAGGGTAAATGGATGCTGGCTTTAGACAGTTTGGGGGAAGAATCACAGTAAAATCTGTAAAATCTCTGTAAAATGGCATAAATGTTCAGAATCACCACTCATGTTGCACGTACAGTGCCCCAGTAAAACACAGCTAGGGCAAGGATATGGCTGGTAACTCTGTTGCAGTCAGAGTAACTCATAAGTAAATACAGAGGCAAAATAATGCTGCTTATCTCCAGATTACTAACACTTTTTGCAAATATATGTTTATAGGTGTGCAGAGTGAGTGTTACACTTCTGCATATCATTATAATGGTTCTATTTTTTGGTAAAAAGAATTGCTGCCATCAGTTTAGCAGTGGTATTACCGTTTCCAGTTTTCTGCATAAAAATATAGTCGATATCTTCTCTCAAACTATAGCTGTTAACTGAGTTTTTACATAAAGGATAAGATAGGTGAGAGAATGAAGGAGGAGCATATTCATATAATGGGAACAGATTTGCTCACCAATAAAGCACCTCGTAGATTGATGCCAGTTTCTGTAGTCACATAGTAGGAGGCCTGCAGGAATGTCCTCTGCAGGATAAGGGCCAGGAAGAGGAGAACTGCCAAAACATAAACATTCTTGAGGAACTCGTCTGAGGAAAGATATGAATTCGATGGATCCTTCAAATGAAAAGGAAAAATATGATGACAACGACGTAGGTTTGATTATCTTTTGAGATGCTAGATATTAGGAAATTCAGTCCTTGCATTAGAATATATTATATTGATGGTACTCTGGGAAAGTTGCGGGAATTATAATGATCTCACTGTTCTACATATTATGTAATTGGATAGAAATTAAACTCTCTGCTCATGTTCCGAAGATTTCAGAGTGCAACTTTTAGCATTTCTGAAATAATTTTCGTTAGCACAAAAGGGACAGTGAGAGGGACAGCCATGTCTGTCTTATTCCTTAGATTTTCATTTGAACTCTGGTGATTTGGTGGATAGAAATACAATTTTGCCTGCATATGAAGAAGCTAAAATAAATTATTTTCAATAACATGACTGGTTTATTGCATTGATATTGCAATATTGATTATGTTGTATTTGTACATTATAGGAATAATTCCTTCCAGAAATAGTTTACGATATCTGCAAATTCTGAATAATATAAAAATGTATCTGCAAATATTTCCCATGAAATGAGATGTACATGTCTCAAAAAGGGAAAAAAATTATTGTTTATATAATTTTGTTTTCCTTTTCTAGTTTCTATGTTCACTGTGATGTTTGGCTTCAGTCAGAGGAGGAAACAAATGTACCAAAATACTGCTAGAAAGGCTGTTTCTTTGGCATTTCCAATCCAGCTGGAAGCAGGATATACTGGATTTCTTAAAAAAAGAAGAAAAGAAAAGCCTGTTCTGCTGAAATGCCCAATCTGATGCTGAGATGAAAGGTCTAGTAAATATTGGAAGATAAACTGCATGTCTACACTCTCAAAGTCTCATCATTCTGTATTACTGTCATCTGCAAAAGGACTAAAGGCAGGAGAGAGACCTGAGCTTGTAGGCTTGCTTCACCACAGGCACCTCACCAGGAGAGGGTAAGACTGAGCACTAAGGAAAAATTATGAAGATGGTCAAGCAGCAGAACAGGCTTCCTAAGGTGGTGGTTAATGCTGTTTGCCTGTGTTCTCGTGACATTTGTACAATGTCCTCGTGCTTTAACTTTCAGTTGGCCCTAGATTGGTCAGGAAATTGGACTATTCTATTCTGTTCTGTTCAGTTCTATCCTATCCTATCCTATCTGTTGTCAGCAACTGCGAAATTGCGAGACCCCACCGCGGGGTCTGATGTGCTAAACTCCCTCCCTGCTCTAATGATTGATGTGTGATGTAGGCCCCTAGGGGCGTAGACGAAGTAATTAAGCTATATAAGGTAGTTAATACGTGTAATAAACGCCATTTTACTGCTCATCATATTGGTGTCACCTCGGTAATTGGCCAAGCTGCGGTCTCCTGGGGAAGCGGAACAGACGCGGACTGTAACACCTATCCTATCCTATCCTATCCTATCCTATCCTATCCTATCCTATCCTATCCTATCCTATCCTATCCTATCCTATCCTATCCTATCCTATCCCATCCCATCCCATCCCATCCCATCCCATCCCATCCCATCCCATCCCATCCCATCCTGTCATCTTAATCTCATTCTACTCTCCTCCATCTATCAAAGACACCCAATGGCTGGGTAGTCTGGGTCTGGGATGAACCCATCATATGGCTTGCAGGGAATTGTTTCCCATCCCTATCTGCTGTAATAATCAAGCCATAAAACTTCCAAAGCAGTATAAGCAGTGAAACATTGGTAAATACCTAATGAGCCAAAAACACTTCAAAAGTGCCAAAGTCTAAAGTATCTAAATCCTGCTGGAATAACAGGACAGGGTTCCTTCATCAGCTAAAGAATCCTGGAAATGGGGGTTGCTTCAGTATATACATATACAATTTCTCTTAATATCCTGGGTCATCTAACTTTCCCATGAGTTTATAGCAGGGATAACAGTAACAAACTAAATTTTGTGGCCACCTTTATCAATGTAAATAGAGTTACAAGGAATTAAGGGGGAATAACCGTAAAATTAAATTCATTTGAATTAATTGAAGCTAGAGAGAATTTAAAGAGAGACTCATAAAGACAAGAACAACCAAGGGAAAGTTTATCAAAATATGCAAATTGAAAGCAAATGTATTCTGAAATGTATCCAAGAGAAATAGTGACTATCTGTCACAAAGCCAGAATGTTGAAGTGCTTTCAAGTTTTCGACTTTATTTTAATCTTCCCTTTAGCCAGTGTTGATTAAAACATTTAAAAATAAAACACTTCAATGAAGAGTGCAAAATGAAAAGGTGCAAATTTCTAAATTTGAGATCCAGAAATGAAAATTTTCAAGCAAAACTATCTTGTATGCTCAACATTAAAAAAAAAAAAAAAAAGATAACAAAATTCTATAACAAGGCAACTAAAACTCCAAAACTATTTTTGAGGCAAAAGACATACTTTGCTATTTGATTCTGTGGCTCAGATCCAACATGTTGAGGCTCAAATATGATAAAGAGCTTTTTTCGATAAGCTGTGTTATTAAACTCTATGTTGTCAGCACAATGGCTGAAAGTTGGGCTGAAAGCCCAACTCAGAGTATCACCCAAAAAAATGAATGTTGGGAACAAGCAGCCAAGTAGAAGATGTTTGGATAGTGATGGCAGTGAAGTGCTCTATCTGAAAGGGAAAATTTTATTCCATTACATACCTATCCACTCCTTCAAATATAATTCAAATAAACATTTACTGTATAATGTGTGTGGGTATATTTTCATATCAGAAGAAAGAGAAAAATTTCCTCCCTGTGTCTTGTCTACTGTCACTTTGTAAAATAATTTTGCATTTATCTTTTCACTAGTTTTCAACAAATTCTAGTTCTTATGATAGAAAATGTTCTGTATCAGAGGCTTATTCAGTTGTCTGATAGACTACCTCTGCAAATACAAGTCTCAGTGAAGCTTGAATGTGCATCTCTAGATTCAAGGAGTTCACTGAATAATCAACTTTTGCATGCCCAATGCATTTAATCAGCAACAAGCAGTGCAATCAGTCACAGAGAGCGAATACTCTCGGATCCCACATGAAAACAAGGTTACATCTTGCTCAAACCTGTCAGTGAATGACAAATGGATAGAGGGACATAAATTAGGCAGAACCCACAGATTCCTCTTTTCTGGATCCATCACTGGTGAGCTACCAGCAGGTGTCCTGCCTGAAATGAGGAGGCACAGCTGAGAAGAGATTCATAGAAGCTATTACTTATCCTTGGAAGTTCAGAACTGACTTCATGAAGAGCCAGCTCTTCCAACTGGGGGAAGCCTGCCTCGTCTCTGTTGCACTACTTGTGCTGCATTCATGATGAAGACTTTCACTACTTAGGTCTTCAACTTGATGGTCTCTAACAAAAAAATAATTTGCTTGAAAGAAATAATGAAAATTACAATGATGATCATAGATATTTGGGCACACACAGTATTAAATATCTGATATGAATCAAGAACAAACACTAAACAAAATCTTTCAATTAATGTTGTAAAGTTACCTTTTCTGTTGCATTTGTGCTATAGGTTGTGTTCTGGAAGCCTTGAACAATGCCAGAAATGCACAAAGGCCCAGCAAAACCCAGCAAGTCAGCCAAGTAACGGAAGGTGCTGCTAAGAAGAATTGGTCGTCCAAAAGCACTGTACATCGCCAACCATATCGAGGGACGTCGATTGGGCTGATCTGCTACTTTTTTCTGGAAAACAGAGAAACAGGTTGACAATGCATCAACAAGAGGCTTCCCTGGCAATATGCAACAGTTTCCATTTCATTGCTGCCTGAATGCCTAAATGTTTCCTGTATGTTTGTAAGGGCAGAGGAAGCAGCAAATGTGATGTTGGCATTGGCAGATTTCAGACACTCTTCACAGCAAATCCAAACTCTGCCTCCTCTTGTTAAGTGTGGTTTCTCCCCTCTAAATCCTAACACTTTTCTGAACACAAGAATGTGAATACAGATTAAGCATACTGCCATGTAGATGTTGCTCTTTGTCACATACACGCTCCGGAAAGGGTCTGACATTTCAAGTCCTTACTCTTATGGATAATCTTTACTTTCACAGTAGATGTGAAACCACTTCATTCAGTAAAGGCTTCTGGTATGAGAGAAAGATTGAAGGAAGAAACATGGAGAGATAGCTATGTGAATACAGTTTAATTTATCCAGATTTTTCTCTTACATGCCTTCTAGGAAGACACACTTCAGCTCATAGCTAATTACTGGGCTCAAGAAGGTAAAAGTAATGAACTGTACTGGGAGATGAGATTAAATCATCTAATGGTCCTTCTGGGCCTTCAGTTCTGTGAATCTGTGCATTATCTTCACCCATGCACTGGAACACCAACCAATGCATATCTCTGAACTTGGTCAGAGGGGTGCTGGTTTTGTCAAGGTCCTTTTAATCTAAAGAAGAAAGAGTTTTACTTAACAGATCCATGGTCTGCAGAGTGGTTTCCTATGCCTCAGGCAACAGCTTTTGACACAGTAAAAAATCATCTGTCATTTTTCAAGTAGCACAGATGCCTGCAAGTTATAACTGAAGCCAAGCCCTCTTGAGTGTTCACAGAGACATTTTAAGTATAGCTCAGTAATAACAAGCCCCTGACCCAACACATTATCCAACGAAAGGCAAGCATGTATGTGCCCTGCCTGGCTACTCCCTGTCTTGTTTTCTCTTTTCACAGTTCTTCCTTTTATGACACTTCAACAGTGAGATACAATATGCACATGGTGCCAAAAATGTACAGATGTATGGGAGGGCCAGATAACTGCTTCCTGGTTTCTAGAGATTAGACCAGGCTGGTCATAACCAGCATAATGGCAAGAAGCACAGTATAGGGAAATAGCCAGCACAGGGACAAACTGTTAACAGGTTGTTTCCATGTTCATCATTTCATAGAAGTGATTTTTTTCTCATCTGTAGGCGAGAAGAAGAGATGGCATAGAAATGCTATGGGTTATTCAGTACCTTATTATTAAAGGTTATTAAAAGACCTTGTTTTAAAGTTATTTTGTCACTTGAAGATAAAACAAACAGATTAAAAACAAATACAGGTAGAATCAGACAGACAAGACTCATTGAAATAATTTAGAACTAGGAGCTAGCATGCAACTCCCTGCTTTTAAGATCAAAGTACTGACAGAGCAGTCTGGTTTGAAAGAGTGTTACACATGCTCTGCTCTACAGCATGCCAACGTTCCTGCTGCTGGGACCAACCCTGACTGCATTGGTAGGTGCTGGATACTCCTGAATACAAGCGCTCCTGAGCATCCCTCCATCTGGTTGGAAAAAAATTGTAAATCTTTTCTTTCCTTGACATATTGACACTTACATTTGTGAAATCATTCCCTATGCCTTCAAATAATTTTCTTTAAAGAAAAGATGTTTGTTATTAACAGGTAGATAGAAACATCGTAAGATTTGAATGCTATGAGTGGGTTTTCAGGCTGTTAATTCCATTGTTTAACACTGTTGATTTTTCTTTGCTTAACCAAGAATTTAACATAGCTGAAGTATCTAAAGTGAAGAGGGGAGAAAGAAGAGTGGATTTTTTTCCCAGTGGTGAAAAATTTTGCAGCATTTTCCTCTAGTGGGCTTGCAGTGTACTACGTTATGTGGTGCAAATCTGGGATGCACGGGTCAATATGCAATTTGAAACATGTAGACCACTTGAAGAGAAACCCAAAAACACCATGAAGTGACAGCAGAAATCAAGAATTTTTTCAACATTAGGATGATGTGTAATACATTGATCCAAAACTTTGGCTGTAGGAATTTACTTTCATATCTCTAAGACTTCTTTACATACTTAATCAAATTAAAAAAATCTTCATCTTGAGCCAAAATGTCCTTTAATATATTGGGAACTGTGAACATGTATTAAAGAGAGTATATGAATTTAAGGTCATGGGTGTAACTCTATGCGTATGACACACACAACAGCTTACTCTGCAAAAGCAACCTCCCTATCCACAGTTAGAATTTATACAGTGCACTTAGAAAGATGAGATAAAAATACTGTAAGATTAGGTGTTTCAATTTCTATGGTAGATTATCTAAAAAAGCAAGGAAATGCAGTATGTTCATCTTTTATTTTATTTCTGATGGCAGAATAAATGGAAAGGAAAGCCAATTCTAATGCATATTTTGGCAATATGTTGTTTATGAAAAATCTCAAACAGCATATTTAAGTAAGCTTGATTACCAAGAAAACACGTTTTAACTGTCATTTTATAGTGTCTTTCAATCTCAAAGGACATATATGACGTTGTCTTACAATATGCTGTGTACGTTGCCAGGCACAAACTACTCACAAGACCAGTAACAAATGACCTGTGTCTTATTGTAGGAGCTGGAATGCCTTCTGCTGTAGCAACTACCAGATTAATAGACAATTAGAATGTTGATCTCCAATTATTTACCTTTCAATATGTTACTATTAAATTACGTTATAACATTACTATTAAATTATTAAAACAAAATTATCTGACTTTAAGATTCTATAAACAATAATTCAGCATGAATGTTCTTTGAAAAAAGATTTCAAAAAAAATCCTACTGCCAGCAAAGGAAAAAAAGAGTAGGTTCCACTCAGTGTTTGGTCCCTGTGCTTGGGACACAGGTTAGGAGAAACAGTGATTTTGAGAAGCAGTCATCAAAATTTAACCTGAATTCCCTGATCTTTTTTTTTTCTTTTTCTTTTTTTGGTAGAGTATCTGGTTTCAATTTTCATTTCAGGCAGAAGGTTTAGGAAAAAGCCTTAAAAGCAACACACTTCATGTGAGCTGTCTCAATGGTATTTTACAGTACAGAACATCCATGTTAATGTTCAGTGTCTTTTATCAAGGTGTGATAAAAGGGGATTGGAAAGGAACATCCTTCATCCCGCATGGCCAAGGAGTGCAGCTGAGATAAGCTCTCTGGAGGCACAGGCAGGAGTAAACCAACTTAATCCAGAGGATCTGGGGGGCTCTCTGCCCCAGCTGTGGAAGATCAGGGTAAAATACACCCTGGCAGCAGAGACAGTGACAAAGGATCTCTTCCAGACTACAATCACGCTTCACCCTGAAGAATTTAACTAATTCTGTGGCTGTTTTCTAACCCAGCCATGCACAAAAAAAACATTGCATTTGTTTTAGTCTTTCAGTTTACTTCAACATTATCAGTAAAATATCCATTTACTTCAGGGTTACTGCCTGTTTTAGAATATTGTCACAAATGGAGGTTATGGTAATCTTGAGATATTATGCAGGTTAACAGGAAGAAAAGAAATCTGATCTCAGCCAGTTTTTGCAAATGTAGGTGCATGTTACCATGGGCAAAATATTGCAAGTATCCATATGTGCATGACATGCATTCAGTGAAGCTAAACAGTGAATGCACATGAGCAACAACAGAGTTCACTTGCCTTTTGGCATTTGAGCCACATACTCATGCATGCACATGCTGTATCTGCAGATGTAAATGAGATACAGACAAGTGCTTGCACTCAGTCATGCACATTTGTCATAAAGAAAGGCACAGAGTCTCTAGTTCTAAGGGGTAAGTAGGTGCCTAAGCCTCACTGGCCTCTTTAAGTAAGATATGGTCACCAAATTCTGCTTTGAGGATCTGGCCTAAGAGATGCATTTCTCCTTTGGTGTGAAAAGCTCAATTCCAATGACTTAGTAGATTTCTGCTTTAAGCAGAAGGGTCTTGGACTCTCTAATAATAAATACATCGGCATGCAAAGCAGCCTCAGTCTATTTAGAATATAAATAATTGCATTAATTAGGGCTTCATTTCAGAAGGCATGGAAAAGAGTCTGCAGCTCCACCAGCTACCAGGTGGAAAGAGCTGCTCTTGCCGTACTCTTCTTGCATTGCTGTTCTGAACTGTTTACTGCTTAATAAGTCTATCTACCTGGTGTGTACAAGAAAGGGATTTACATGCCTTAATCTTACGTGCTATATTTCCAAAGTGGCTTCTGACTGCTCGTATCCTTTCTGTTTATGCTCAAGAACTGACAAGTATGTACAAATCAGGGAGACAGGCTCCACAAATGAAATTTCACAGTTTTGCCTAAATGTATGCAGAACTTTCTCTGGAAACATCTCCTCTACTGAGTCAGAAGGTAAACAAAAACCAGCTTTGTTTTTCTTACTGTGTCTGGCTGGGATGGAGTTCATTTCCTCACAGCAGCTTTCATGATGCTGTCTTTTGGATCTTTAACTAAAGTCGGCTGGTAAGACACCAAACTGTTGCTGAGCCATGTTTACATCCCACCAAGGACTCCCCTTTTCCTACTCTGTCACCAGTGAGGCTAGGGGCGTGCAAGACCTTGAGAAGAAGACATAGCAAGGACAGCTGACCCCAACTGACCAAAGGGGTATCCCACGCCATATCATGTTGTGCTTGGCAATAAAAGATTAGGCAAAGAAGAAGAAAGGAGGGATACTTGTCATTATAGTGTTTGTCTTCCCAAGTAACCTTCACACGTGCTGAGACTGTGCTTATCAGAAAGTAGCTACACATCTAACTGCTGGTGAGAAGTAGCAATGAACTCTGTACTGTTTTTCTTGCTCACACAGCAAGAAACTGATTCAGTTCTTAGGTTGCCTTTATTTTGACTCACCAGTTTTTAGCTTGTGCTCTTGTGCTTCTCTCCCCTGTTCCACCAAGAGAAGAGTGGGCAAGCAGCTGGGTGAGTGCTTAGCTGTTTCCTGGGGCCAATCCACCTGCTTCTCTTGGTATGTGTTTTTGAAATGAGGGTAGAATTACTGGAAAGAGAATTACTGTAACGCTTGCCCATGCCCAAAGATTTCTCTGTTGAAACACCACTGTCTAAAGAAGGAAGGATTTGCTTCCCTTCCAGTGTGCATGTCAGAGGAAACATCACAACTAAGCCCTTACCTAATATGGACATGTTTGTCCATAAGTTTGTACCCTCCTGCAAATGCAAAGGACAAGAATTACTTTAATGTGCAATATTTATAAGACAGGATTTCTGAAGAAAAGGTTGAGATGAGTATTTCCAATTGAAACTATGGAAAAGTAGGAGATTTTCTAGTTTAAAATGCTGTCTTGAATCTCTAAGATTTAAACAAAGCTTTTATTTTTAAAATGAAAGCTAGCAAGTGACCATTCTGTTACGGTTTTGGTTTCTAGTTGCTCTCAATTTGGCAACTCTTTCCTGCTGTAAATTCACTTAAAATCCAACAGTACCTATGGCACTGGAACTTCCTATGACAAATTTCACCTTGGAACAAACAGACCTAAGTCAAAAATTCCTAAAACTGGGATTTCATCGAAGCAGAAGAAATTCAAAGTGACACCACAGTTTTAAAGGCTAAAGTAGTGACATGGACATCTTTGGTTACCTTTTGTTCCTCGTATGCTTCTTTGAGACAAACATAATTTGTCAGCGCTCTCATTGCAATTGGAAGCTTCCCAATTGCCTTCAGGTCCACAGGTTTCTTGTGAGCAGATATAATAAGTGTATTCATCCACCAGTAAGTTGCTTTTGAGAGCAAATTGACAAATGGCTGAAGAAACCTCACTCCGAGATCTTGTAGATCCTCTGGTGGCTTCACTTTCTGAGGGTTCATGAAAAATACATACCTCTGGAGAGAAGAAAATGGACAGCATGTTTTCAGAAAATATCTTATTATAGGAAATTCTAAGTATGTATAATAATATAACAGCAGTGTCAAATTTGTATTTGGAGGTAATAATACACTGAATTTGGGTAAGAATTTGCTTTTAAACATGAGTATTTCCATTCTGATAATGTAACTGTTAAGAAATCAACAACTGTGGGATGTGGACACTGCTTTTTAGCTTACCAAGTACCATCTATCTCTGCATGACAACAACAAAGAATTCTTGGGATATATTTTTATTTGCAGTGGGCAAAACATATGCTTGCTTATGCCTTCACTGCATATGTAGTTTAACTGCATTAATCATAGAATCGCTGAGGTTGGAAAAGACCTTAAAGATCATTGATTCCAACCACAGCCTAGCCATACGACCCTAACTCTAACAACCCTCCACTAAATCACGTCCCTGAGCACCACATCCAAACGTTTTTTAAACACATTCAGCGATGGTGACTCAAACACCTCCCTGGGGAGCCTATTCCACTGCTTAACAACCCTTTCTGTAAAGGAACGTTTCCTAATATCCAACCTAAACTTACCCTGATGCAACTTGAGGCCATTTCCCCTCGTCCTGTCACCAGTGAGAAGAGACCAACCCTGCCCTCGCTGTAAGCACCTTTCAGGTATTGGAAGAGAGCAGTAAGGTCTCCCCTCAGCCTCCTTTTCCCTAGACTGAACAGCCCCAGTTCCTTCAGTCACTCCTCCTAGGGCATATTACCCAAGCCCTTCACAAGCCTTGTTGCCCTTCTTTGGACCTGATCCAGCACTTTAATGTCCTTTCTGAACTGAGGTGCCCAAAATTGAACACAGTTCTTGAGGTGGGGCCTCACCTCACCTCACCTCACCTCACCTCACCTCACCTCACCTCACCTCACCTCACCTCACCTCACCTCACCTCACCTCACCTCACCTCACCTCTTAACATAGAGTGTAGATTACACAATTTCCCACACATACTGTATTGGTGCTATAGATTCACAAATGCATATGTATATCTATCTACACAAATACATATGCACTGTCTGTATGCATATACATGCTCAGACCAGGGCCTAAATTGAGGATACATATTTTAAAGAGATGTCACATCTATAGAATTCATAGAATCATTGAATTATGGAATTGCTCAGGTAAAGACCTTAAAGATCATCAAGCCCAACCGCAACCTAACTATATTACCCTAACTCTAATAACCCACAACTAAATCATGTCCCGGAGCATTGCATCCATTAACTAGACATTCACAGTGACACCAAACTTGGACCTAAACTTGATGAGAGACAGTTACTGGGGCTAATGACATCTTCATCTCCCAGGATCTGTAGATATTTATTCAGATATGGATCAAGAAACCACATACCCTAACTCGAATGACATTGATCTCCACAGCCATCAGCAGCCCGTAGAGAATCACCATAATTCCAGTGATGCAGAAACGCAGCTGAGAAAAAGGCACACCGTCCTGGCAGTATCTGACTAGCTTGATAGTTTTGGTGACAAAGGCCATTATCCAATAAAGAAAGAGAGCTGTAAAACACATGCACATGCATCATTATAAATACATATTTCAGCTGTGTTGCAGCTCTCTCAAGCAGAAATATTCCATAGCTTAATTCAGTGCAAACATGGCAACCATCTATATCACAAGCCTGCAGGATGGCCCAGGCTGATGTCAGACGAAGTCAGGAATACAGAATGGAGAGATTTGTATTCCACTTTCTTTTTCCAAGTCATTGTTTTCTTTCCTGGGTTGCCACCTTTCAAAAGCATCCACAACTGTGGATCTTCACACAATTACAAAAGTCCACTGAAGACAATCTGATAGGAAACTTTACTATTAAAATGAAGTAAATGTCACTTAATGTGACAAATATCATATTGCCTTTTTGAAAAAGTAGGATTCATCACAGGTGTGCACTTGGAAACATGCTTATTTTGAAAGAATCCATGTAGTTTAATTACATCCTGCACTCTGGTTTGTATGACTGGTTCAGGCTGTTGAGTTGTAAGTAATTTGGCAGTATATTCCCATGAAACATTATGCTGCAAAGTCTAGTCAAATTCATCTGACCATCTCCTGACTGAGATAGACATCAAGATAGCTGTGTTTCTTGAAAACAAACTGTCCTTATCCTCCAGATCCCCACTGCTGTTTGGGTAAAGTAAGGGGTGGTATTAATCATTAGACTGGAATATCTTGGAGTCAACTGCAAAGGATGCTGAGAAAAAAACAGCAATCTTCACAGGATGTCTTCTGAACAGATTACTATTTCAAGAAGTGCTTCCAAATATCTATTTTGAATGAATACAAATCTTGGACATAAAATAATGAGCAGTGTTTAAAAAATACCCCAAAGCTCATGCTAGAAATACAATAGGCTCGCTGTGTTCTCCCTTCTGTGATCATTTTTAAAAGTAGTTTTCAATGTGTACGTAATAAAAGGCAAAATAACTCCTACAATAATACAAGTTCTATGAACAGAAAATTATCCTCAGCCTTTTAATATTCTCCTGCATTTTATCATCCCTTTCAATCTAAGCCGGCAAAACTACTGTTTTTGTAAAAGAACATGATCAGACTTGGACTTACCTAACAGTAACTTTGGAAAGTTAGATGTTTCAATGTTATGGTAATAGACTATGGATACAGTGGCAGCCACAAATCCCATTATGGCTGGTAGAAAGAGATGGAGATGTCGAGATTTCATTTGTCTGAAATTAGAAAAGACATAAATTAGTGACTTCAGTTACATTGTAACACCATTGTAACATTCCTAGGTGTTCTGCTAATGTAACTAAGATGACAAATATAGCTTTACTAGTGACAAAAAGGTGTTTTTTTTTTCCAAGTGAATGCATTAACTTCTGTCAATATTTACTAGCTGTTATATATTGACAGAAGAATAATGAAGTGCTAAGAACAATCGGTTCAATGTCCCATTAAAATCTAGGATTCTGAAATGGTGCTCCATCCTTTTTGGGGGAAAAAAAAAGGACAAAAACTCTCTACATCTTACTTGCAAGCATATCACATGATAAGAGAGTACACTGACAAATTCAGTTAGCCTGGCTATCCCCTTGTTACTGTCACTTACGTATCAGAAACTATGCCCTCTGCTATTTCACACACATGTACGAACAGGAGAGTGAATGTCAGAATCCATCGCAGATTATGCCCAGGGAAGTGCAGCCATGTATTGTGGTGAATCTGGACTTTGGAGCTTTGGCTTCCCCAGCCTGGAAAATAATAGTAGTAGAGGAGGAAGGTTATCATACAGCCAGCCAGAGATGTAGTTATTTGTTCCCTTCTCTAAGCCATAGGTTATGCTTCATAGTCTAGAATTAGCACGGAAGAGCTACAAGACCATGAAGAGAGGCTGTTGTTATTACCCAGGCATGATCCATGATTGTCTGAGTTGCCAGGTAGCCCCTAATAACTTAGATCTAACTTTGTAGGCTACAGGACAAAAGAATTCCTAAAATAGAAATCAAAGGGAAGAGGCCCCTAGCCAAGAACAAAGGTGAGAAAGACAATAAAAACCTTTCAGTTACACCCTTGCACAATAGAGGCTGGCATGGAAGGTTCAGGTTGGACATTAGGAAAAATTTCATCTCAGAAAGTGTGATGAGGCATTGGAACAGGCTGCTGAGGGACTTGGTGGAAGATGTGGCACTGGGGGACATGGTTAATGGGCATGGTGGAGATGGATTAATGGTTGGGCTGGATGATCTTAGAGGTCTTTTCCAACCTGAATGATTCTACAATTCTACAACTGAAATGACGGTGTTTTCATTTTTTTTTTCTTTCCATTTTGCATATTCTAATCTCCCAGTAGATCATCAGAATTCAGCTGGTTTAATCAATGAATTAATTTTGAAGCTTATTTCAGATTCATCACCTCAAAGATCAACTATGCACTTCAGACGAGATTGTCTCTGAAGCCTGATTACAAGCAGATCTCCAAGAACTGTGCTATTGCTGGGAAGAGATGAGGTCTGACGAGAGGATAGCATATCAAGGCCTGTCCTGCGTGTTTCTCTGTAAGGCAACTTGTCTTCTGTCCCTTCTCATCCTGCTATAGGTCTGTCCTGAACCACTTAGCCTAAATGCTTTGGCCTGTATGTATCCCTCTTGCTGTAAGGCAAATTCTATAACTAACTGGTGGACTTACTGAAGCATGGAGATGGACTCCAAAGTAGCTAATTTAGGGAATTAAAGAAACAAAACAAAACAAAACAAAAAAAATAGTGAGCATCAGTATTTCAGTAACTGCATGACTGAGTTTAAAATTCAGGATGTGATTTTGTTATACAAAGATCATAGAATTCTAGAATGATTTGGGTTGGAAGAGACCATAAAGATCATCTAGTTCCAAATCCCCTCCCTTAGGGGAAAGACAGTGTCTCCTAATGCCTACATTCTCATCAGGAGACTCAGAAACATAAACAAGAATTCATGCTTATTAGTTCTTGGAAATAGTTTATCACTGTTTAATCCTTATTTAACACATAAAGTACTGCAGGAACAAAATTTTCAGTCTTCCTTCTGTTTATCTCAAACATTCTCCGTAAGAGTTCAAAGATTTTCCTATACTAATAAGACTTTCTTTGACCTTACTCCTATCTTTGTCTCTTCCAAGCTGCTTTTAATTTTATTTCCTTCTGCCCTCTGAAGGCTCTCTCCAACAGCTATTTATCCTGACAATCATGGTACAAAATAGAAGAAAAATAATTGTATACATACATACGTTCCATGTAATTTAAGATACCGTGCTTTTTTTTCCTACAACTAATAGACAATAGAGTAAATTCTTAGTGGCCACTTCAATGCTACTTCAATCTTAGTCAGGTAATATCTGCAAAAATATTAGAAGAACTTGATACAAGTTGATTGCATGGAATGATGTTTGACAGCCCTGAAAAATTTTTAAACTGCGTTTATTTCATCACTGCATATGCATAGGATAAAGAGACAACGGTGGAGAAAAAACGTAACTAGAGTCCTAGTTTAGACAGTTTTTTATGAGAGTATATAAACTTGAGCTCTTACAATACCTTAAATTATTTGAGAGAGATTTATCTTTTCTTATTTCCATTCCCATGGTAAAGATCATCTCCTCTGCTCTCCCTTTGTTACCAAATGTTGGCAAAAGAAAGAACTATTCCTGCTTCTCCTAGCCTTTGATCCAAGACATTCTCTGAAATTTGCATGACTTCAAGGGAATTCTGACTCACTGTCCTCAGTCTTCTAGCATCCAGTAATAGCAAAGATTGCAAGTTGCTACTTTCAAATCTGAAGAAAGCTTTCCCAGAAAGAAGTTTCAAAGCATTTGGAACTGATTTCTCTGGATCCCATTGATCTTCCTATGTTGTTTACTTCTAAAATTCAGGTAATCTGTGTTAAGCCATTCTTTCTTTTCTTAAAATAAGTAAATACAAAGCACCTAATAGCTTGCACCAGAGGCCTCCAATCACAAGTAAATGTTTTAAATGAGTAACAAGTAAATGAGTTTAAATACGTGTTCAAGTGCTTGTAGGATCGCATGGCTCCACTGAATAACTCACCAATGAACAAAATTGGAAAGGTGATAAAAAGCAAGAAGACGTGGGGAACCAAGTTGAGAGCATCCACAAAGCAGACATTTCTAAGGACACCAGCAGTGATGTTGTATGCTGAAGCATTGTCATTACCACAAAATGAGAGCCTCATTGCTTCCAGAAGGTCTGCCTACTGAAAAAAAAAAAAAGAGAGAGTTTAAGAGATGTGTTGAAGTACAAGCTGGCTACCAAGACTGCTAGCATTTCTTTTAGCTTAACATGAAATAAATAAAATGAAGAGATACATGTGGAGCACATCGAACATCTGACAGAGAATAAGTTAGTTGTATTTTGAAATTGTTTTGTGACCTGATCATGTATAAATGCATGAGAATGAAGGCTGTGCTTTTATCAAATATATTAAATGAGTACATATTCACTAAATATACCTTTCAGTGTCTTCTAGTGTTATATGAACAAGTGTTAGGCTGAAACAAGGGAGTTTGGAAATAACTATTTCCAATTGTATTAAGAAAACTCAAATTCACATTAGTTGAATCCTGTGTGTCACTGCTACCTTGGTAAGCCAACACTCTGTGTAATTCTGTTTGTATAATTTGTTGCGTGACATTTTCACTGTAGCTTGAATCTTTGATATCTGTGATTTGGTAGCTTTGGATTCACTAACATTTTACATTTTTGTACCATCTCATAGAACAAGAATGATCACATAGACTACTCATTCCAGATAAAGTGCCAAGCTCTTAAAGTGAGTTGTACTGAAGATTGCATAGGCAGTAAATCAGCATTTGTGCTTGATCCTGCAAATCCTAATGCATGTGCTTAGCCTCAGCTAAGCGAAGCTCTGGCTCCCATAATTTCTTATGAGAGTATCTTTGGAATTAAAGATAAACTCACACATTCATACTTATGTGGGCCACAGCATGATCTAGAGTTATGGCCGGCTTCTGGGTTTTTCATCTGTGCATTATTCTTGTATTCATTCTTCTTTATAGGAAGATCAAATCAAAATGTTTTCTTGGTGGTTTATTTTCCCCAAACTTCCAGTTAGCAATATAGTGCTGTAGAATATGTTTTGTAAATTTATTTTCTTACATGTTTTTCCAGAGTTACATACTAAATGGAAAAAATGTCTTTAATTCAGCAAAGCATATTGTATGCTTTCGTGAACACATCTTTCTGTAATAATATGGGCATCTGATTTGTGGAATCAGAACAATACATGCAAAAAATATACAATACAGTTTTTCAAAAGAAGTTAGTTCAATGGGGAAAAGTGTTTTCCTTATTTCCTCAAATAGTTCAGATTAGTTTTATGAGCTTACTTGTTCAAAAAAGACAAGCATAGAAAGGCAAGTATAAACTGCTAAATTACTCTCTTAGAGAGAACACAAGCGTAAAGATCTTCAAAAAAAAATATGGAGTTCAAAGAGCCACTGCTAAGCCCCATTTTTTACTTTAAATAGCTTTTTGTTCGGTCCAAAAAGCATAATTCATGCTGAAACACATCAGTGGAACTTCTAAAGTTAGTCTCATTGGGAAGAAGGTGATGAATACAGCCCCTTTTCCAAATACATTAGTGATTCGTGGAGCATAACTCCAGGTTATATGGTGGACATGGTCTGCAGAAATGGATACATGTACTTACTGTGGTGCAAGAGCTGATGGACAACTCATTCAATTTCAGTGGAACAAAATTTGACAGATAATGTGCCCCATTCCCTAGAATGAATAGCATGATATGACCACTATCAATCTGTCATTATATTTTAATAAAAAATATATTCAAAATAGTAAAAGATGTAAATAATGCAAAGTAGGCATTATGTTAACATAAATTCTTTCTGAACAGGCTGAGGAGTTATTGAAAGAATTTGGAACTTAGAATATTTCAAGGAAATTATTTGTTTTTAATTTGTAAAAGCTTGACATGTCTCCTTTAAGAGTGTCATAATGGCAATGATAATCTCTCGAAAATCAGATGTGTTGTTTCCTCAGTTTTATTGAAGGTCAGAAGTACAAGGGAGTTCTGCTGGGAATTTTCCTCCCTTTCCCACAAATAGGGCTCTTTTCTGAGACAGCATAGATGCTATTGGTCTAGTGGCTGGATTGATACTGAAAAGCAGGGGGGATCCTGGGCTCCATCAAACACTGAATCACTGACTTCCATTGTAGTTTTTGGCTTAGAGTCAAAAACAAATCTAGGAGAAAGGATCAAAACTGTGTCTAAGAGAAATTAATGGAAACTGTTGTTTTTTTCCATTTTTCTGGAAGGGAAATGAATCATTGACCACTTGGAGAGTGCTTTCTCTTAGCTTGGAGAGCACCTAACCACCAATCTATAGAAGTTTCACCTCACACCTCAAGTGGTAGTCCCTAGAAGTTATCAAGAAAGATTCATAGCACCTTTGTTGAGCCCAGTTTTGGAATAAAGTAAATTTGACAGTATAGTGCCTTAAAAAAAAACACTGCCCTTTATGCCCTTTAGAGGTGAGAATCTGATCCAATCAATGATATCAACATAAAAAGACAGTGCCCATCATACTGGTGATTACTTTCAAGGGTATGTATAAGCAGCACACATCCAGTGACCACCTTTATTAATGTCTCCCTGGTTTAAAATCTATTAAAGCACTCCTGACAGTGTAGTGATAAAGTGTTGACCCAATACAGATTGCGATTTCATCTCATAAAATATTTTTTCATCTTCATAAAATGCTTATGAGGTCCAACTTCCCTTTTTAGCAGGACCCACTTCAGGACATCTCTAGTGCCATATGGCAGTGTTAGGGAGCAGAAGACATAAGAACTGTAGGAAAGATTAATATTCCTGTGATCCATCCTTCCTTCCTTCCTTCCTTCCTTCCTTCCTTCCTTCCTTCCTTCCTTCCTTCCTTCCTTCCTTCCTTCCTTCCTTCCTTCCTTCCTGGAGATACATGTTCTTCCACTCAGAAAATTGAGACTGGAAAGAAAGACCATTTAGAAGATCTTGACAGCATATCACCAAGAAAAGGCTCTAATCTCTTCTGTTCTGTAATACCATAAGATTTCTTTTCACAAAATGGAAATTTGAAATGGAAGAACATCAGATTTAGCAATATCATAAAAATTTTCAGTTTTGCCTACTGCTGAATCTCATCAAAATGATGGAATAATAGAATGGCTTGGGTTGGAATGGACATCAAAGCCCACCCAGTTCTAACCTCCTGCTGTGGGCAAGGCTGTTACTCACCAGGTCAGGCTGCCCAGGGCCCCATCCAGCTTGGCCTTGAATACCTCCAGGGATGGGGCATCCACAGCTTCTCTGGGCAGCCTCTGCCTGAGCCTCAACCTCTGAGTAAAGAATTTCCTCCTAACATTTCAGCTAAACCTCCCCTCTTTTAGTTTAAAGCTATTCCCCCTGTCCTATCACTATTAGACCATGTAAAAGATTGGTCCCCCTCCTGCTTGTAAGATCCCTTCAGGTAATGGAAGGCTGGAATGAAGTCTCTTTGGAGCCTTCTCAAAAACTACAGCTAGATTTAGAAAAGAAAATGGAACATGATTGACACTTGATCAAATTCAGATTCTTAGTAATAGTTTAGGCTTCTCTTCCATTGGCTTTAGTAAGACCATGTCAAAGTTCTGTCATAAAAGTTCCTGTATAGAGGTGAATGGATGTATATTGCCTATATGAGGAAGTGCTGTTTGCTTCACTTGGTGCAAAGCATCATGCAATTACATAATTAAATTAACTGAAGACTTTTTATATATGGAAACAGACTTTTCACACTACAGAGCATATGAGGGAGAGATCAAAGAGGGAAAGCTAGGATGCAGAGGTGATGGAGTGATTTGAAGAGATTTATGTTGCAAGGAGAAGTACAGAGAAAAGCAGGGGTTGTTGCAACTCTCCAGAAGGTAATCACCTTCCCCAGGAGCAGTTTCCCTTCTACACCCGCCTGTCAACTCTTCCTTGGTGATGCTGGAAGCAGCACTGAACTTCTCTTATAGGAGCTCTAACCAGATGAATTAAGTAGCAAAGCCAGGTGCTTATCACCTCAGGAGCAGCTCCAGGCAGCTGCCTGCTACGCTGAGCTCCGCACAGTACAATGGGGAGCCATGCAAATATTAACTCTCAGAATTAACTGACTTCTATCAGCTAGATACTGTTTCCTAGATAAGAAGCCTTGCTTGCTGCAAGCCTGAGATGAGATCAGAGCGGAGCTGTGGCAGTTGCCATAGTTCAATTTCAGTGTTACCTAAGTCAAGCCAAACCTGGGGACCTATAAGTCACAGCAAAAGGCCCCACTGGCTCCTTAGCAAATCTTTACCTGTGTTTCTCAAAGGAAGGGGCTGCCACTGGAAAGCACATAGCCCTTGTCTTCTCATACAGATTACCAAGAGCCTTTTTCTAAGCCTGTGCCCAGTTTGTAATGTTTGGAGCAGTAGGCTTATTTACAGGCAGACAGCTTTGTCTGTTGATCAACAATGGTTGCACTAAGTTAATTCTGACAGCCACTTTAAAACAACCAAACAAATGACCCGAACTTGACTATATAGGAAGGGACAGATTGTTTTGAAATTTGTTGGCCATCTGAAGTGATTGACCACTATTTCTCATCAGGTTGCACTAGCTTTTCAGCATATCTGCTGAGATCCTTGTACGCACGTTTCAGAAGAAAAAATACTCATAGCTATTACCAAAAAAAAAAAAAAAAAAAAAGGATTTCCCTGCTATAACTTCTCTTTCTATTAAGCACTGTAGGCCATCAAATTGTGCTAAGCTGATTGTGCCAAAGTGAGTTAAGTATATCGCTCCCTATTTATTTCACTACTTCACTGCTAATTATAGAAGGAATGTTATACTTCATAATAATGTTGCCAAGCATGCTAGGTTTAACCTAGCATTTCAATCAGGGGGAATGCATTAGGGTGATAAAGATCTTCTGATAATAAGTGCATGCTCTCTCAGGGTACCAGCTTCATTCAGCACCCCAATAAGGTGGCCAAATGTCAGGTAATTATTTTTTTTTTAATCTCTTGTACACTGGAGGATTTTGTTCTTCAAAATTAATGACAAATCACTCACTTTAACCTCAATCTTTACAAACACTAGAACTAGTAACAAATTATCAGGGGTGGTTTTTCTTTTTCCCCTTAAAAACAGCCTTTGTTGAGCGGCCAGCTGCAAGTTAAAGTACAAAGCAGAACTTTGTAGAGGAGAGAAATGGAAAGAACAGTCAGGAGGATGGGTCCATGATGGTGCCAGCGCACAGAGAGTCTCAGCTCTCCTTGACATCATTTGGGAATCTGATTCCCTTTTGGTTTAATTTAATGGGGATGTGAACTATCTGAACAGCAGCTCGCCCTGCAATGAAATAGCTAAAAAAACTTATGCCCTTTAAGCATTTACATTTTCATCCCAAGATCTTCACCACTGGCAAACTGAGATTTTCTGGTTGTGGGTTAAGGTGTACAGACATTTTCATAATATAGTAAACAGAAATAGGTACCAAAGAGTTTCAGGAACAAAAAGCATTTTGGGAAGAAAAAAATAGGACAAAGTATTAAGCATGAATGTGATGTAGCATTTAGCCTAAACACTTACAAATCTAATTTTAACAAACTTAAACATGGAATTCTTAAGGCATAGAGTTAAATCCTGAGATTTAAAAAACATTTTACCTAAGCTATAGAAAAGAATACAATGGGAAAGTGGTAGATAATGTAAATTTTCATAAAAACAATAAGAACATCCTCACTGAGTGCAAAACTGCAAGAATTCTAGTTAAATATATTTTAATTATCTTAGGGTCTTTTAAATTGGGCTTAAAGCCCTCATATTCAAGAGTTTTCTCTTACCTGGATTATCACTCTGTTCTGCACGCTCTGCAAGATACAACTGAAAAGGAAAGAGCATAAATGCAGTCCTCAGGTGGACCTTAGTTGGGGGAAATATGAAACTTTTGAAAAGTTTTTGTTTCAGTATTTCTGCTGTCTGTATTAAAAAATAAAAAATAAATAAAAAAAATCAATAGCTGCACTTCCCGATTAAAATACATCAGCTTACAGAGCATACTCGGGTCTCAGTTCATAATTTTTTTTTTGGTCTTACTTATAATGTGCATTATATGCCCACATATGCCACATATGCATATATACAAGTATACATATATACATGGGTATGTGTACACATAGAGATGCAGAACGGAGAAAGTACTCAGAGTTTTGCAAAAGTAGTTGGTTCTTAATTTCTGAATAATGGAGTCTTCACCAAAGCAAGCTTTTTTCTTTCCTTCCTGAATACAGAGAAAACTTTACCAAAGTTCAAATGACGAAGTTCAGTGAGCCCTATGGAAGGCCTACTGCCTTGCCACAGATTTTAGGCTAGTGCTCTGAATCTTTCCCTTGCCTGGTATAAACCTATTGGCTTTTTTTTCCTACCTCCCTAAAAGCACCTGATCTCATGGAACCTGTAAATTATAAATAATGATTATTTGCAAAGAGTAGCACTAAAGCAATGGCAAAAAAATGCTGTTCATTAAAAATCTTTTATCCCAAATGGTCCAGCACAAAATATTGTTTTCTTTTTCATTTCTATTTCAGCTGTGACCAACTGCCCTAGATAGACCCTGCCTCCTCACTAAGCACTGTCCCGGTTACCTTGGGCCTTAAGGTGACAAATTACTTCAGATGCTTTTCAGCATTTGCATCGCTCTCTGGCATACACCAGCAGCATGATCCAAACCTCACTAAAACTAATGCAAGGAATCTCATTGACTTCAGAAGGTTTTGGATCAGGCCCCAAACACAGAGAAAATCCCATCAGCAAAACGGCTAAACGCGGTACTGACTCTGAAAAGCATCGCACACCAAAATCAGCAGCGCTCTCACGCATCCAAAACATTTATTTTTCTTTTTTCTTAAGCTCCTTAAGGCAATTCAATTTCACGCATTGACGTGCTATGCTGCCGGCTGCAAAACCTATGACTCCACATGCTAAGACAGGACGGTTTAAAAAAAGAAACAGAACCATGAGCAGAGCGGCAAAGAAAACATCAGCGGTAGGGGACTGGAAAGCCTGAGAATGCCTGAGAATGGAAAAGGAAAAGGAAAACAGATCTGAGTCGTAATCCCAGGAAAGAACGAGGAGCAGCCCTGTCCCACAGATATAAAGGAGGAGGAGGAGGCAGTTAGTGGGGACGACGGGGGGGGTCACTGCATGCCCCGCTCGCCTGCTGGCTGTTAGAGCAAACTCTGCAGCTTACCTTTGCAAACACAAAACCAAAATACCAACCCCAATTTTCACTCGGTTGTGCTATGTGATCAATATCATCCCGGCGGCAGGATTTTCCTCCACTTAGCGAAGCAGCTCCAAGCCCTGGAGTGAATTATTTTTAGGCTGGTGATGGGGAGATCAGCTGCTGCCTCCTATCGAGTTTCCAAAGCGCACAAACTCCGCTCGTCTTTCTCACACGCCGAAAAGGGGCAGGAAGCTGGGAAGAGACAGGCAAGCAAGAAGCACCAATTTTTCGCCTCCTGCAGCCGCAGTCCCCTGGGATCTCTTCTGCTTGCTTTTGTTTTCATTTTTACAAACTGGAGTGGTAAGAATCCAAGAGGCTGCACTGCAATGCACAAGCTATGGCCAGATGGGTATCCTAACGTAATTGACTTGGACAAGGTAGTCTAACTTTTGGCAGGCATGGGAGCTTCAGCTTTTGAGGGTTTTTTTGAATTTGGCTTAGTTAATTTGAATTTGACAACATAATTATATATATTGTCCATCATCTTGAGCGGAAGCGAAAGCATAAATCTACTCAGATATTTCATTCACCCTAGATTCCTCCATACTCTTCACCTTAAAATCTGTTTACTAATCACAGTGAAAAGAGTAATTGAGGCACTGGACAGCTTTTTATTTTGAAATAGGTTATTTTTTAAACTTGAAAAAAAAGGCAAAACAAGTTCTGTGCTTATTCCAGGGATAAAATCTTCCACACAATTGCCCTTATTTACAATTTTGGCAGGACTGAAAGCTGCTACTTTGAACAAAGGCTGCTCTGAAAGTAATACCTCCCATTTTTTTATGTTGGCCCATGACATCACTGTATCTTAGCAGTGGCAACAGTGACCGTGGGTCACCTCCACTGGTGCAGATTTTTACGAGGACATACAGCTCTTGGTTGCTGGTGAAAATGCACAGCTAATAGTGGAGACTACGTTGCAAAATAGGGTTTTGTAGCTGATAATTTGCTCTATCAAATAGTGTTATTGTGCTCTTTGTATATGTTATAATTTCTATGGAAATAAAGACAAGGCATTGCTTTCAGAGTAACCAACGTATATGTTTCTTTATTAAAAAATCCCAAGTGATACCTAAACATTCCTTTGTTTAAAGATCTCTAAGTTGCCTACATGCAGCAGGCTGGTTTGTCATCTATTCTCTTACAGTGCCATTGAACCAAGATATGACAGGGTGCAGGTATTCCATCTCTATCATTTCGTGCTACCAAGTCATAAAGCTTGAGGCGAAAAATGGCAAAGGTGTTTGAGTCAGGTCTGAGATCTGCTGGCAGCTCAGAACGTTTGAGAGCATGGTGGTTCAGATGCTGAGCGGCAAACCTGGAGTTCTCTGGGGCAATTTGCTCAGACCCAGCAGGACCCATCAAAATCACTGAAGAGCAAATGATTTCCAGTGGATTGTGATCACATGTTTTCATTCTATGAAAGGTATTTCAGAAAACTCTGAGCTGAAAATGTAGGGGATGGACAAATCCGTCCTTGTAGGGGAATCCATCCCAATCTTGGCAAATGCAGTCTTCCCTTTTTCTATGGTTTTCATTATTTGTTTTCCTTCTGACTGTAGGGACACAAAACAGGAGACTTCAGATCTGAAGAAAATTGATGCCTTTTGATAGTTTCCATTGACTTGACATATCAATACATAATACACTGAGCAACTGAGACAATTTTCAGTCATCCTACATAGCAATTAATATGTTTTACTTGCTTTTCAGGTTTCTTGCTAAGTTTTCTTCCCTCTCATGTATGAACATTCTATGCTTTAGGAGGAACAATCTGAGTTCTGTTATAAATCCATGTTTCATTAGAAGAGTTTTAAAATAAAATCTTTAACACATCTTGCCGCATTTTTGAAAACAGGTATAATTTCATACCCAAGTGAGTGAAATTTATGATCAGACCTTTATTTACCAAAACACGAAAATCTTATTCACTCATTTCCATCAAATTGTTTAAAAAGGAAGGAAAACAAAAAACAAAAAAAAAAAAAAAGAAAAATAAAGATAGCAGCTGCCTGCATGAATAATTATGCTGTTTTCTAAATGAAATTCTTTGTTTTTTTTCTATGTGACAAGCTAAAAGGCTTTGTAATGCACATTTAAAAGAACTAAGGAAAGCAGAAAAGTAAAACTCTGAAATGTCAGAAAACTTTCTGCTCTGCTCCAAAATATTTGTTGCTATTCTTTTTCAGAAAAAAAAAAAAAAAGAGCAAATAAACAAAACAAAACAAAACAAAAACAGGGATTCAATATGGTTCAGGGATGCATTTGAATCTGCCACTAAAGGGAAAAACAGGACAATGTTGGGATATGCCTGTTTGATCCCCTCTTCCAGTCTCATGTGAACATCCCAAAGGCTCAGCAGCCACTGCTCTACAGCTCCAGCTCACGTTGCCTCCTGCCCAACACTGTCCCCACCCCTGACCCTGTTACTGTCCCCATCCCTGACACCAGGTCTGTTGAGTCAGGAGTGCAGTATCATGACTACTTTACCTGGTGACTCAGAGGGGAAAATTTGTGGATCTTACAAAAGAGTTTGGGCTGCTGGCTCTCATGCAGGCAGAAGTCAAATGCCAGAGCCCATTAAGATGCTGATGATGGCTTCCATGCTGCTTGCAGGCTTGCATCAGGCTGAATCAGCTGAACCCAAGGGGATCTAAATGATGGATGAATACCAGGAGTGGGAAAAGGTTTTAATAGAGTAATACTCACTTATGTGAGTCCAATCCACTGTGGCTGTGGATTAATTTGCCACAGCTCCCTTCTGAGCACTTTCCACTCTAATTGTCTTGGATTGTTTAACACACTACATAGCAAAAGCTACTGTGCTCTGGACACAATTCACATAATGGGCTGATCAAGAATCTGAGGAGTCTCAACTGACTACAGCTTTCTCAGCTTTTCCCCATATTGCAGGTTAGTCCGTAGATCTCCCTCTACATGCATTTCATGGCTCACTGGTGCTCAAGATCAAATAATAGAATCATGGAATCATTTAATCACAGAATGGTTTGGGTTGGAAGAAACCTCGATGACAATCCAGTTCCAATCCCCCTGCCAGGAGCAGGGTTGTAGGGCCCCATCCAACCTAACTTTGAATACCTCCAGGGATAAAATTTTACACACTATTGCCCTTATTTACGATGTTGGCAGCGCTGAAAGTTGCTACCTTGTATTAGAGCTGCTCTGAAAGTAACGCCTACTGTTTTATTATGTCATCCATGATATCAGTATTTCAGAAGTAACATCAGTGGCAGAGGGTCACATCTGCTAGTGATGCTTCTTACAAACACAGCATGCAGCTCTTGTTCATCATCGGTGAAAATGCACAGCTAATGGTGGTGACTGTGTTGAAAAACAGTGAATAGTGAATAGAGAATAGTGAATAGTGAAAAATATTGTATTGTAGCTGGGAATTTTCTCTGTTAAATAGTGTTATTGCACTCCTTGTATCTGTTGTAGTTTCCATGGAAATATTTAGGAGGCATTACTTTCAGAGCAACAATTGTAGATACGGCCATAGACAATTTCTCTTCACTCAGTGTGGCCCAGGCAAGCCAGGAGGTTGGACATCAATGCTTTAAACCTACGTGTATCATTTATATAAAAGCTTTTTGCTTTTAATAAAACTGCATAGGCAATTCTAGCTGTAAATTATATATGCTGTGGTCTATCAAGTATTTATTTTACTTCTAAATTTGTCACAGTACCGAATGCTAGAAGTGCTGTGTCAGAACTCTTGCCATCATATAAAAAGACCAGACTGACACAGATTCAAGATTAATTTTAGTTATGCTAACAGTCTTAATTAAAAGAAAAAGGTTTCATATTGTTTTAAGTTTGTCTCAAAAAATAGGTCAACCAAAAGTTGTTAATGAAGTAGCAAAACATCAATATTCTATTTTAATTTTTTTTAATATATTGGAAAATGCAGCCTGTCCTTTGAATAACTTCTCTGTCTCTTTTAAATATTTATTGTGATTAAGCTTGGAAAGAGAAAGCATCAGAAGACCGGTATTATTTCAAATATTTTCCACAGCTTTTTAAAAAGTTATTATTCCTTGTTTCTATGGGGAAAAATGTTGTGGAAAATATATACAGCAAAAGTTCAACAGAGCAACCTAAGTAGAAAAGAACTCTATATGGAGAACTACAAGAAAATCCCAGACTTCAGACTTCATCACTATAAAAGGTGTACAGAGCCAAAGGGCTTGAGCAGGGATTTGCCATCCCTCAGATCTCTGATGCACAGCACAGTGTAAGTGGTGACTCCCAGGCACCAAACGCAATGCTATGTTTATCTTGGTATTTCGAAATACAGGCTGAACTGGGGTGAAATGCTGCAGTTTACTCAGAGGTTTGCACTGCTGCATGTATCTGGGTTGCTTCTGCACAAGTCTCATAAGCACAAGGCTGAAACACAACTTACTGTCATTACCACACACATCCTTCACGATGCTTCCTCACAGTGGTTTGCCAGGGGCTGACACTGGCAATATAGACAATTATTGCATGTTGATCCTAAAATCTCATTCCCACAGCAGCCAAGCTAGCAGTCTGATTTTATCCTCTTGGCAAACATGGTAAGACTAAACTAGGGAAAGGATCATTCTCTCCCTAGTCAACAAGGCACCTACCTTGACTAGTCCCCTTTTTCAAATTTTGGCTTCTAGGCACATCGTCAGAAATTAAAAAGATTTTTAGGTGTCTAATTTCAATGCAAATGCCTGAAAGAGTATCACAGAATGCAGAACTCATCTCGGTCAGAATTAGATGGCTTATAACTGATCACTTACGTCTGATAGTGGATTCCCTATACTGAATTTGCAGAGAAAAATATATTTCTAGACATCAGGTCTTTCCATCTTAAAGCAATGATGCATCCTAAAGCAGATACTGAGAACTCATTCACCTCTAGATATGACTATTTCACCTCATAGACTACCAGAGTCTATAAGATTGTGTTAGACTTAAGTGGTTCTCACACACATAGAACTAGGGAAGTTGATTTTTGCTGCTATGCTATGTTTAGAAATGAGAATTATGATCTTAAATTACTGGAGCATTTATGGAAGTTCTATCTTGTATCCATGTCTTCCCTTTCTTTCTTTGTGATATGGAAATAACATATCAGCA